TCGCTGTAGGCTGCAGGGCCGCCTCCCGTCATAGAGTGGTAGCTGAGAAGGCCTACCGGCAGAGAGGGTGATAAAGGCCGCCGGGCCGCCTCCCCGTTACAGTGTGATGGTTGAGGAGGAGGCCCACTGGCAGGGTGGGTGATGAAAGCCGCCGGGCCGTCTCCCCGTTACAGTGTGATGGTTGAGGAGGAGGCCCACTGGCAGGGTGGGTGATGAAAGCCGCCGGGCCGCCTCCCCGTTACAGGGTGATGGTTGAGGAGGAGGCCCACTGGCAGGGTGGGTGATGAAAGCCGCCGGGCCGCCTCCCCGTTACAGGGTGATGGTTCAGGAGAAGGCCCGCTGGCAGGGTGGGTGATGAAAGCCGCAGGGCCGCCTCCCCGTTACAGGGTGATGGTTGAGGAGGAGGCCACTGGCAGGGTGGGTGATGAAAGCCGCCGGGCCGCCTCCCCGTTACAGGGTGATGGTTGGGGAGGAGGCCACTGGCAGGGTGGGTGATGAAAGCCGCCGGGCCGCCTCCCCGTTACAGGGTGATGGTTGAGGAGGAGGCCACTGGCAGGGTGGGTGATGAAAGCCGCCGGGCCGCCCTCCCCGTTACAGGGTGATGGTTGGGGAGGAGGCCACTGGCAGGGTGGGTGATGAAAGCCGCCGGGCCGCCTCCCCGTTACAGGGTGATGGTTGAGGAGGAGGCCACTGGCAGGGTGGGTGATGAAAGCCGCCGGGCCGCCTCCCCGTTACAGGGTGATGGTTGGGGAGGAGGCCACTGGCAGGGTGGGTGATGAAAGCCGCCGGGCCGCCTCCCCGTTACAGGGTGATGGTTGGGGAGGAGGCCACTGGCAGGGTGGGTGATGAAAGCCGCCGGGCCGCCTCCCCGTTACAGGGTGATCACCGAGGAGAAGGCCCACCGCCAAGAGCTGAGCCACCTCAAGATCAAGCACGACTCAGGCCTCTCCATCATGAAGGACGAGCTACACAGCCTGAACCAGCAGGTCAGCAAGTACAAGCGTGAGCGCGACACCTACAAGTCGATGCTGGAGGGAGCGCAGCGCACCATCGGCGACCTCAAGCGGAAGAGCCGGTCGGCAGACGGAGATGGGGACGCCGCCGGAGCCGTCGACGTAAGTAGCGACACGGGTCACGGGTCGGGGTCGCGCGGCACGTGGCGTCAGATGGGCTGCAGAGCCCAATGGCACGCAACGTGCCGGGCAGTGTGTGTGATCGCCGAATTTGCCAAAAATTGGCGACGTGTTCCCCCATTTTTCATCAGGGATAATGACCATGTTGTTGAGTGACGGGGGTTAGATATTTAGGAGCTGTAACTGAGGGGCATGTATGCACGATATATGGTTTACTTCATTCACTGAGAGAAGTGTAAATTGAGGGCTGAAATAGACACAACATGCCTAGTGACGCGCCGCTTTTTTGTTTTTGTTTTTGTTTCTGTTTCCATATGCTCGGGTTAACATTGACCTGAGAATTGTTGGGTATAAATACGCACCAATCAAGGTGATGAAAAGGATCGATCAAAAGCTGTCGTAACTAGAGAATCGATTTGATTCAGCCCCACTAGACACTGTCTGCATTATATACTGGAGACCAACCAGCGGGTACGGAGGTTAACTGCTGACCACTGTCTGCACCAGATGTTCGAGACGAACCAGCGGGTGCGGGAGCTGACGCTCCAGCTGACCAGCCTGGAGGATCAACTGTCGGCGGCCCGGCTGGAGGCCAGCAAGTTGCGCACGGAGACCACCACCGAGCGCTCGTGCTGGGAGATCCGCGTCCACGACCTACAGACCAAGATAAACGAGGTGGGCAAGACTGAGGCCCTACCGAGGTCGGGACACACGGAGCACTGGCCAGAACGCTTATCCGCTTCTCTGAACGTTTGTAATGGTTGTCGGCCTCGCAGGATTTGGCCAGACTGCTTAAAGTCGGCGAGATTATGATAACCGACGAAGTTGTGGCTGTGTGGAACTCATTTACGACCGAATGATAGAGATGTTTGCCAACATGTTACCGTAGCATAAATGTGAGTGCTTACTGATATGATGAAGGTGTCATCGCTACGTGTATGCATACGTCCTTCATCTCATATGAAACCAATGTTAAACGATGACTGTCTCTCAGAGTCGGAAACTTAGCGGGCCGCACTGGTGCCTGGCTTTGGGTACAGTGAAATGATGAGATCATCTCAAGTGCCGTTGCGATGCCGGGGGTCCGGCTGACGACATAGAGTCCGGCTGAAGGCGGGAATTTCGGGGAACGGCAGGGAGCCCGGCTGAGGATAGATAGTACAGGTGGTGGCGGGGCGTCTGGCTGAGGACAGATAGTACAGGCGGCGGCAGGGAGTCTGGCTGAGGGCAGGGAGTTCGGGTAGCGGCAGGGAGCCCGGCTGAAGGCAGGGAGTTCGGGTAGCGGCAGGGAGCCCGGCTGAGGGCAGGGAGTACGGACGGCGGCAGGGAGTCTGGCGGAGGGCGTGCTGTCGATCCGGCCGTGCGTTGACCGGCGTTGTCGCGCCTGTAGTTGGAGGAGGAGAAGATCATGTCCTCGGGTCACTCGCGCATCTCGGGCATCCGCGCCCGCATGGAGCTGGCCTGGGGGAAGGAGCGTTCCGAGCACCAGCGACTCATCCAGGAGACATCCAAGCTGGCTGAGGATCTCAAGAACACGCTGCACGAGGTGAACAAGAGCCCAGTGCCAATCCCGTCCCTTTTGTCTCCCTGTCTTGCTGTTGGGCGGAGACGACGGAGTACAAATACGCCGTCATGCAGCCGTCGGTCATTCCGTCAGCTGGTCATTCTGTCTCGACATCCAACACGCCGTATCGGTGTGACCACGTCTCTAACTCTGGTCAGTGTGTGGAGGTGACCGATCGCGACGCCATACCTCAGTAGTGAGCTGCCTGGCTTACTACTCGAATGTTGTGCGTTCGCGGTTTCGCACCGACTTGCTTTTGGCACAGTTAGCTCTGCTAGTTTTCAACGCCAGTTACCTTGACAGTTACCTGAGCGTTGTTAAACCGGGAGTTAGATGTATTGTGTTAGTGGGTACCCACTTGCTGCGATGTCTAGTGTAGCCAACCAAAATATTCAAGTAAGTGCGCTCTACAGGTTGAACGGCAATTAGAAAACGAACGAGCCGAAGCTAAGAGGAAGGTCGAGCAAGTAAAGAGATCGATGGAAGACGAAACGTCCGACACAAGAAAGAAGGCCAAGGAGGTAAAGCAGTGCTATGTCCTGTTGTCCGGCTTTCTCGCACTGCTTGACCCCGATTTAGCGGCCTTACTTTGGAAAAGATTTACTGCTTGTATTGCTAGCAGCTTGAACGCCTCATTAGACGGTTTAAGGATACCTGCGCGACCGCCAATGCAGTGAGTTACGCCAGTCTGACCTTGTAACGGCTCTGCTGGCACTAGGTCTGTCGGCCTATACAGCACGGAAAAGTGTTAAGTGTGCAGATGTACGCCACAAAATTGGGCTAGTTCATGTAACATTGGCATTTGCTATCGGTGTAATCTGTATGCAACTCATGCGGTTATGATCGATCGTTTTCTGCACCATTTTTTCTACGATTTGCGTGCCGTTTTCACAAAAAAAACATGTATTATTGCCGTGTACTGTTATTAAAGACCTACATGGCACTTCATCTTTTCGGCCTTGACTTTCAGTTTGAAAGATGCTCCGTTTATTTCACGGCTGCACTGTTCTGCCCAAGGCCGCTGGATTTATCTGCCGTTGCTAAGTCTTGGTGAACCTGCAGTGGACAGATGCCTACACTCGCCACACGTGCAGCGCAGCCGTGTTTTCGCTGCCCTCCCCCCCCCCCTCCCTCCCAACCCGATCAGCCGAGAGGGTCACGGCCCACTGTCTATCGCGTGTAAACGTAGAGGAGCCAGCTCAGACACGGCCCGGCTGTCCGCCCCGGGGTGTGCTCGGTTTTGGTGAGACTGGTGACGTGCTCCACCGGGGCGTACAGTCCGCTCGTGGGAGGGCAGGCCGGTGACGCCAGCGCGTGGTCACCTCTGGCGGGCTCGGTCAGACAGGTGCGCCGTCCGAGTCCGCCGTGTGCGCCGGCGGTCGCATGCAGTCGCACTCGCTGCCACCGGCGCCTATGCTGCACAGGACGTCGCACATGTCGTTGGGATCGGAGATCTGCTCCGGCTGTGGTGGAGAACCGGGTCGGTTTGCGGGAGCGAGGACCTCTCGCAGTCGTCCTGACGGGCCCACGCCGGCTGGCGACCGCGCTGGTTGCGAGGCGGGGATAGCAGTCGCTCTTGCAGTAAGGCGCACAACGTTGGCGGCCGCTTCTGTCTGACGCTCTCCGTTGGAATCTGACTGCACCGGCGGTGCCGTTCCTTTCCGATTGATCTTCGCCCGCGGGCATGGGCAGAGCGGATGCAGGCACGAGTAGCCGCTCCGCTCGCAGTACCGCGACAGCGCTGTGGCGTCCGAGACGGCGGTCCTGAGCAGCGCCAGCCGCAGCGACACGCCAGCCGGCCAGCGCCGGGCCTCCCCAGGCAGCGTTATGCTGCGGAACCAGTCCCACCGGCAGAGGGCCGAGCGGCAGCGGCTGCTGGCGGCGGGCGCGCTCGCGACAGGGGAGTCGGTTCTGAGTCCGCCGACCCCGGCGAACGCCACGCTGGAGCCCGACAGCACCAGCAGCACAGCGCACAGCAAGTGCACAAGTGACATGCCTGAAAATGTGCAGCTGAGTTAGACTGGCGAGAAGGGTGAGAGAACGTCATCCAGGTTCTGCCAGCAATTTCAGGCAGTGTTTGACAATGCAGCTGTGACGATACGACCGTGAGTTAAGGATGCTGTGATTCCATCCTAATGATGTGAATACCTCGCCGTCTTACTTTTGAGCGCCGCTGTCTCCGAGCTTTGAGTGCTGGCCGCTTGTTGACCTGTCCTCGGTCGCACGACCGTCTCCGCCTGCCGAGACGCGCAGGGGCGTGTGGAGAGGCAGAGAGGCTGGTGTGTGCTGAGCTGTGCACAACACCGGCTCGCAGCGACTGCCGGCCGGATCTGGTGGGCAGTGGCACTGCACTGATGTCACCCGGCACACTGTCGATAGCTCGTGCAAACAGACAGCGCACCCCGACCCACGCCGGCTGACCGGAGAGGGCCGGAGATAGCGGTGGCGCCGCCGCTCCTTACCGGCCGCACCGGGCCGTGGGGACGCTACTCTAGCAGTGCATGTGTGGTGGCCCGGGCCAGACGGCCGGCTTCAAGCCGCCCACGCGTCAAGACGGCACCCCCACCCGCTGGCGCCGGCTCAGTCTGATAGCGCGTCTGAGGCACTTCCGTCGCTGCCGATGACAAACACTCAATATTTATCGGGCGCATCCCATGTCATTTACAATCAGGAACGGCTTTAGGGGCTAGACCAAACAATGCTAACTCAGTATCGTCTGTTGACGAAGTCGATATTCGAAAATAAGCCCGTCATCTTTTCAATAATCTATTGCAAGCGGTGGCTAGCAAAGCGAGTAAGGGGATGTGATTCCCTATAAACTCAAAGCATGACTGTGACACGGGAATATCGTTCTCGCTAGCATCTCATGAGCAAGCCATTTACGTCATGGCCTGTCAAGTGTTAACCATTGGTTTAAGACCTTTATGAAGGCACCAGAATAGAATTCATCTGTTAAGTATTTTATGTGGTCAAAAAAACCTCGACAAAACAAAAGTGCTGACAATCATTACCTGTTTAAAAGCACTCCATCTCAAACGCTACATGAAATCTGTTGAAACTCTCAACGTAGCCTCCGGTGCGAGACTGTAGCTTCATGCTGCAGTGGCGGGCCCCCACTCATCTTGTTAGTGCATACCCCGGCGCCTGCTGCCAGAGTCTGGGCCAGTCTTGTAGCACCGCCCCAGCACTCACGCTGCCCTGAACCTCCTGCCCGGTGCCCGCTGGCACCGTCTGGTGCCAGTCCTGCAGCACTGCCCCAGCACTCACGCTGCCCTAAGCCTCTTACTATCCTGACTGTCAAGCTATTTCGACTCTTACGCTACCCTAACCACGGCGCCGTTGTGGCCCTTACGCTGCTCTGACCGGCACACTGTCCTGACCCCCCCCCCCCCCCCCCCCCCACACACACCCACACGACTCTGGCTGTCACGCCAGCCGGGCCCCAGAGCCCACTGACTCCCGACGCCAGGCGGGCCCCAGGGCCCACCGACGCTCGACACTAGCCGAGCCCCAGAGCCCACGGAGCCCACCGACGCCCGACGCCAGCCGGGCCCCAAAGCCCTCTGACTCCCGAATCCAGGCAGGCCCCAGAGTCCACCGACGCCCGACGCCAGCCGGGTCCCAGAGCTCGCCGACGCCCGACGCCAGCCGGGCCCCAGAGCTCGCCGACGCCCGACGCCAGCCGGGCCCCAGAGCCCACTGTCTCCTGACGCCGTGCTGACCGCTGCGCCGTCCGGCAGCTGCACGACGACCTGCTGGAGCTGCGTGACGCACACGCCAAGCTGCGCGAACAGAGCCGGCGCGTGATCCGCGAGAAGGAGCGGGCGGAGCGCGAGCGTGAGGAGCTGCAGCACCGGCTGCAGCTGGCGCAGCGCGCCGAGGCCGACGAGGAGCGCAAGATCAGCCGGCTGGTGGAGCAGGTCAGTGTGCCACCCGCAACGCCGGCTGGACCTGGCACAGCCGAGAGGCGGAGGATATTAGAAACTCATGTAGTCCGCTTGCTTTCATATTTTGTATTGTCATCGATCGTAGGAGCGACATTTCTGTGTGTGTTAGTCAGCCTTTCTTCACTCCAAACGTTTCTGAATGATTTAGATTTGTATGACCCACAAAATATCAAAATTTCACCTTGGTGTATGCTAAAAATATATTTCGCACAAAACGCATCAGAACTACGTCATTCCAAGCTTGCCTGCATCCGCCTCTGCGTTCCTTCCATTTGGAGCCAAGACGAGATAAGTGATTCCTGATGTTAACGCTTGTTTGACTCCCACTCCCCTTCTGATTGACGCCACCATTACGAATGTTGTGCCTCGTAACTCCGGCTAGCTTGATACGATCACGAAAATTCGTTTAAGGCTGCTTACAAACCAATCTTGCTGCTGCTTCCTGCTGCTTCCTGCCAAATCTTGCTGCTTCGAGCCAAATCTGCTGCTGCTTCCTGCTTCTTCCCGCTGCTTCTTGCTGCTTCTTGCTAAATCTTGCTGATTCGAGCCAGCGCATTCTGAGATGGGGGGGGGGGGGGGAGTCGAGGGGAAGCGGCTGGAAGAGACCTGCACAGTGAGGGTCGCATCTAGCTATCCTGGAGCCGCGCAGGAGAGGACCGTAGCGGTTATGACCAAATCATGATGACGAAGTCTTCATGATGCTATTTTTTACTATACATTCGGTATAGCATTTAGCGCAGGTGTGTTTCTCGCCATGGTTTCACTGTATTTCTCACATCCAGTCCTTGTCATCTTTCGGACTGTACCAAACGAAATTATGTTCATCACTTTTTTGTTTTCTTATGATCAAGTATATCACCACTTTTACGGAAACAGTCGCAAACGTATCCATGTTGTATTTATCATGCTGTGTCGAAGTCAGCAATAGTAATACTACGCTGTGGTTTCGTTTAAAAAGTACTTATCAACCATGATCGTGTCGTTAATACACCTAGTCCACATGAAACCTGCACGGCAGCTCGGGGCACGTCTAAACTCGGTTAGCTATGGTTAGAGTTTGGCTTCCACAAAAGACGTGTTATGTATTTGTGTTAAGCCAATAGCACAGCATCCTTGTAAGACCACCGCCCTTGTTACTGTCCCGTAAGGGGATGTTGATTGCTGGCTGGTCGTAATACTGTAGAGATGCATAGTCTGGTATATCAGTGTCCATGTTTTGTTTGCGTGGTAAGCCCCCTCCCTTCCCTTCCCAACCCCCACAGAAGCACATAGTGTTTGTCTAGTCGGTAGATTGCAGAATCGCTGAACGTTCTTTAGTTAGACGCAGTGCCTTGCAGCTTGAAGACCAGCTTGCGGTAGTGAATAAGACACTAGAGCTGCAGGAGAGGCGGCCGGCGCCCGCCAGCCCGACTGCCCCTGGCGTCTCCAGGTCCTACCAGGTGAGCAGGTCAGGTGTAACCTGGTCGTCTGCTGACCCGGCCGTTGACCCGTTGACCCGGCTGTTGACCCGTTGACCCGATGTTGACCCGGCCCGCGCGACGCAGCGGGGTCGGCCGGACCAGGGGAGCGCCACGTGGCACCAGACGGACGCCGCTAACCGTCATAAGAGCTCTCTTGCTGACGCCGCTAGTTCGAAATGTGTTATGCCTGGGTTATATGTTTGCAGTAAATGTTCGCGCAACCCAAGCCCTCCAGAAGGAGCGCTGGCAACTGTAGTACTCATGCAAACGCCCGGAGGCCATAGCGCCAACCGGGAATCAAACAATGGAAAGTTCTTCGGAAGAAAATGATAGAGCAACGTAGAATGAGCCTGAAAGGAACCTTTGCTATGGCTAGGATTGACTCCGTAATGGGCGAGATGAATTATGCAACATGCAGCTAAAATTACGACCACCCGGCGAGCCAGCATGGGGACAGGCAAAGCAGGTGTCCACAGGTGTCCGAGGTGTCCGAGGCAGATGTCCGAGATCCACGGCTGGGACGCAGCAGCGGCGAGTGCCTGTCAACGGCTCCACGTGAACTCCCGCTAAAGAAATTTGGGTTTTTCTTATATTCATACATCATGCCGGCCGTTGCGCGACTTTGTGTAGCGTATTCCAAAGCGAGGCCATTTTTTGGTCAAATCACGATAACCGAGTCGTTATAAGCATGGCGATTCGACCAGTGCTTGTCTACGTTGCTTTCAATGCTACTTTTACCTCGTCTAAATGAAGACTCACGTGAGTGAAACATATTGCTTAATAATGTGACATCAGCGGCTAATATTAGCAATTACAAGCGCCGGACGTGAAGACATGAAGACTCAGCCGCGATAACGCGGCTCCTCCACTCAGCTCACCCATCTCATGACCAGGAACAGGCAATAGCAGCGGGTGCGGTGTACCGACGGTCGGGTGGGACCGGGCGTGCTCACTGAGCCGGCCGGGCGGGATGTCCGGCACATTGAGGACCACTGGCCAGCCGCAGCCGCTGCTGACTCGTGCCATCTTGTCTCGTTACTTCTCCTCATACGGCTGCTGTGTTGTGTTGCAGGTCGGAAAAGTAAATTCGCTGTCTCCGTCAGCAATGAAAGGTGAGAGAGGATTGAGTGTCTTTGCCTTACAAATTATTAATTCGACTGTTGTTCACCGACGCTGTCAGCGGCATTCCTAGCCCTCTTTGAGGCATGAATTAATGTTGAGGAACGTTTTCATCCCCGTTCTTGCTTACATGTGAATAGAGACCAACACCAGATAAAGCCTCATGGGTATAAACGTTTATTGGGTTATTATATATGTATTGGTGACGATATAATGATATCTAGCAAAGTGGCAGTAAGCTAACACAGAGCGAGGTAAAAGCTACCGAACAGAAAGGGAAGAACTAAATATAAAAACTTGCATTAACATGTGATTACAAAATGACTGGCGCTGGCCATAGGCTCCAAACCATCAGCAGAAGCGGAAAAGGCGAGGGAGGAGTTCCAGACTGCCGTCAAGCAGATCACCAGCACGGTGGACGAGCTCCGCCAGTCGCACGCCGCGCTCATGGAGGAGAAGGAGCGAGGCCGCTCCAAAGGCTTGAGACAGCAGAACTACCGCCGGTGAGACGAACTCGTTGCCAATACTGAACGGGGAGCCCGTCACACGACGGTGGTCCGACTTGTCTGGATGCGCGGCTGCGCTGATATCAGGCCACAGACTCTGCTCCTAGCGTCTGAGATCGTTCATCACTTAAATCAAATGCTTAACGAACATTTCCTTCCGCTTCTTTTGTTGCATGCCTCTTGGTTTTCCTCCCGTTCTCTCTCCCTCCCTTCACATATCCCTTTCCTCCCTCCCTTTGTCTCTTCCGTCTTCCTTCCTTCCTTCCTTCCGTCATCCCTTTGCACCTCCTCTCTCCCTCCCGCTCCCTCCTGCCCGCCTCTGACCCTCCGGCACTGGTCACAGTTCGGCCTCGATGGGCGAGACGCTGGGCGAGGAGGGCGCCGCCGCCGACAGCAGCCGCCGCGGCGGGCGCGGCGCCTACCCGGCCGCCGCCGCCAGCATGGTGCTGTCGCCGGCGCGGCGCGGCGGCAGCCTCGGCCGCAAGGCACTCTCGATGGGACTACGAGGCGACTCGCAGGTGAGCACGGTTGGCCGTATACCAGTGACGTCACGATCGGTAAATGGCGACACCGGCAGGCTGGCTTGGCGGCCACGTTGCAGTCCGGGTTTGGCACCACCGCTCTGTCCAGTGCTTGATTCAGGCAGGGGCATTTGGCAAGTATATATATATATATATATATATATATATATATATATATGTAAGTATATATATATATATATATATAAGTATATATATATATATATATATATACATATATATATATATATATATATATATATATCGGCCAAGCAGACATATTCAGCCTCTATGGCAATCCTGTAGGCCTGTAACTGAGGGAATGCTAGCTAGACATGCCCGTAAGTGGGTCACCATTAGATGCTTTCGAAATATGGTGGCCTTTGTATTTTGTAAGTGTTTAAGTTGCGTAGGTTGCTTGCTATCAGTTTTTATCTGAGCTAAGAAGGCATTGTCCGAAAGATTGCTTCCTCCTGGCGCTGACAGAAAATTTGGACGTGGTTTCAGGATTCCATATATGAACATGATGAAGGCTCGCTTGAGTCACTCGATCCCCTCACCTATGCGACCATGCCACGCAAGAAGCTTGAACGGGACGTGAGTGTTGACCGGTAAGCAGCCTGTTCGTCGCCTTTTCCTGCCCACCGTCGTGCGACAAATGACGTCACACTCGACCAATCAGCGACTGAGCTGTCGTATGGCCCTTCTTGAACAGTTTTCTGGAAACCTCGATTATCGGGTACTATCTGATACCCATCGGCAGTTTGGTTCCAAACATCGACTCGCATCAAGGGAATAAAAACCGATTGCCGCAAAAATTGCATCGATTATATACTACGATCCACAGAGTGCGGGGTAATTGTCCGAAGTCTATGTCAATCACTGTGTCCCACAGTCCCGTTCCTACCAGTCCTGCGACGAGCTGACGAGAAATCTGTTTCCATCCCTCGAATATTTGGGGTACAGCTTTTATCATCTCTTTGTATGGCTTGACTTGGTGATGCGGCACCAGGAGTTGTATCGTTCAGTATTAATGTTGTTGATACATTTAAGAAGGAAACACCGCAGAACAAGTGCAATATTGGGTGTTTGTGCATATGCATAGCCCGACTATAACTACTAGAAATTTATGAAAAACTCGGCCCAGACTGCCCGAGCATGGATATACATGATGTTGAAAGCATCCAAACTTTCGTATGGTGAACATTAACGGAATGTCGCAGAATGGGAATGGGGTTGACCGGCCTGTAATGCATGACTCCAAGTGCTCTGTGGTGACGACAGCTACTCGTAATTCAATAAACGTGGTGCATTTGGGCTTACCTCCCAGAGAGACATCGATAGGTGTCTGGTAGCAGTGGTTCCAGAAAAAAGAGCATTTGAAAAGTGGGCGCATGCTGACCAGCAACTTCTATACATAATCTCCAACAGATGCCCTAATGGAGGCCCCGCTAACTGCTGTTACACGCCATTTTGTAATTTTTCGAAACAAAGGTCAGCAGATGTGTGTGATTTCAGTGACATACTGGGAGGGGAATACATAACCCTGAACAAAATCAGTTGGTCTTATAGAACCTTAAAGTTTTGAAATAGGTGTAGGGGGCTCTCATTTGAACATCTTGACATGAACACAAATGTCTGCAGCCCGCAGGTCTTTTATTTTTCAAACTCGTTTCAAGCATTTTCAGAGCAGTGGTTGAACGCTTAAAACATTTTGGTCTGGTTTCCCACTTGCAGAGTATCAACTGGCTCAACGCAAAGTGAGATCATCTCTGGAGTGAATCCTGTTAAGAAAAAGAAGGGCTTGAAGTCCCTGCTGAAAGGCCTGGGCAGGTCCAAGAGTATCGAAGACTCGGAGACTGGGCATAACATCGTCGGTGCGGGCGTACAGGTAAGCCTTCCCAGCTCGTGTTCTCTCCAGAGCACTGATAGTGGAGGGGAAGGGGCAGTTGCCTGCAGAGAAGCAGTTTAAGGAATGGGGCTAGGCATACACAAATGCTGGTGACCGAATCCCAGATTAGTTGTGACAGTGACCGTTTGTGTTTATGAATGATTGATAGTCGATGTTGAGCACGTACAATGAAGGGGTGATTAAAGGCAGGCATCTTTTTTTCTTCTGGTCGGGCACGCAAAATTCGGTGCCCGCTTTCAGTCATCTCTTCACTTTGCGTGGGTGTCACTAAGGTACAGTCTCCCTCCCAGCGTAGCACGGCAGACACGGTCATGTCTTAGAGTTCACTAAAAATTGGTACCAGGAGTTATATCATGCGTGAAGTCCAACTGGCACGACATCAGGCCCCGGTATCGGATCGCTAACGGCGGCTCATGGCCTCCATGAGCAGGCTAGCTGCCAGAGACTACCGAAGACTCCCGATGAGGACTGTTGCTCAGCGCGATGAGCCGCATGTAACGTGTTTTTAGCAGACTCTGAGGTACCGTCATATGCAAAATAGCCATGATTCAGCTAAGAGCGTATCATGGAGCGATGCAGGAATGTAGCCGCTTTTCTGCCATCTCGTAAGATGTTCACGCGACACATTTCAGAGTGTTCAGAGGTTTTAAACGCCTTTCTCTAATAGTTTGACATGCTGGCGGTTAGTCAGATGGACATCAAGTTGAATACCGATCAAACGCGCGCTCGGTTTGGAAGGTATTAGTTTCCTGAATAGCCGAAGTTTCACATGGAACAATTGCGACGTTGGCAACAGTGAAAAACCTACCGTCTTTCACTGTTGTTTCACTGTTGTGGAAACCTACTGTTTCCTGCTGTCTTTGCCGTCAGGAACTGCAGTTCGCTGCGTGTGCCTCAGTTCTCCAGCTGCCTGGCGAGCCCTCCGTTGTCGCTCCACACCCCACAGTTGCAGTAATGCATGCGCATGACCAGATGTCAAAATCGTCGACAAAGAGGCCGATGGTTTGGGGAAGTGTCTTGTCTATATTTTTGCCATGACAACAAATAGCGCCACCTTAAAATGCTTCCTTGCGGTGTTCCATCCACGTTTAAAAACGAATATTTAAAGTGATGGCCAACTCCGTGTCCGTCCCGGTGGCTCAGTTGGTTAGAGCGCCTGCCTTCCGATGCACCCACCCGTGGCGGAATGGGTTCGAGTCGCTTTAGGGCGCTCGCCATTTGCCCGTGACAGGTATGGCCTGCGGCCGGTGGCAGCGGTCGCGCTAAAGGTCAGTTGACGTCAGAGGGCAGGACGGACCGCGCCGAGCATTGCGGCACGTTAAGCTTTCGCCACCAAATTCTGCCGTTGACATGGAATTGCGCGATCGGATGGTAGGGGTCAGGGCTCACACAACAAGCACTGCTTAGCGTGAGCTCTGATCCCGGAAATCCATCCATTCAAAGGGTTCGGATCAAATCTTTACAAAAAACTCGTATGCGGAAAAGACGTTTCAACGGAATGATTTGTAAAAAGATTCCCATACAACCACCAATTTCGTGTTTAAGAAGCTTGACTAGCGTTTTATTACGCCAGGTTGACCCGTTGGTATTCTCAACTTCGGAGAAGGTGGTATCTAAATGGTGGCGTTGTTCATTGGTAGCGCGTATGGCAGAGTCATGTGTAAAGGGTGGTCCATCTTGCAGTGGTTCTTTTAAAGCCACGTTGAATATCGTTTGGCATGTGCTTCTCTTCCGCGTGCCATGACAATCTGACAGTTTACTATCCTTTCTGTTAATTTGCGTAGCAATGGGACAAGCATTACGCCAATGTGCCGGGAAACCACCTCTTTTCTAAAACAAGTTAAAATTACATAACAGAGACTGCAACACACGACAAGAGAAATGTTTTAACATCCCATTATGGATGTGATGGGGACTTTCCGTCACGCTCCGCAACGTCGAAATGGACGCTCGGAGTTCATAAATGGTAAATGGCAGATTGGCACTTCCCGGTCTACCATGGGACCGGGGTGGGACGTGTCCCAGTGGTTTTCAGAATTCATCCATGAGTGACGTCTAAAAGCAGGGATGTGAAAACGACCGCAGGTAAAGGCTCTCTTAATGGGTCGGCTGGGAACACAGACTCCACCCGAGGTTCGAACTCACACCAGGCGACTTTTCTGAAATAATATCTCTGGGGCCGACGCCCAACAGTAGCTCCATCCAAGCAGCTCAGCCACGCAGAAAAAATGATCGCTGTCCATGGGATTGTCGGCGACATGCCAAGTAAAACGTGGCACGAGTAGTCAGCTCAAAAGACTTAGGTCGATAAACGACATCTGGCCCGAGGGCAGTGCAACTTGTGTCCAAGTCCTAGTATTTAAAAGGCGTAGTTATTCTTGGTGGATAAAGCATTCATACAGACGTCACCGCGTGTGGAACCCCAGACGGTGTGGTGCGCGTTAAATCAACTAACATGATGACGGGTTGGGAAGATCCAAAACTAAACGGCTGAGCTCTGCCACAGGAAGCGCGACTCCTGTCCGTAAATATACCGGGCACACCGTGATAAGTCGATGACTTAAGTTTACTAGAGCTGCCACGACCTGGAGGGTGGTGTCGAGTACCAGGTGATGAACAGACGCGCGGTGGTAACTAGCTGGAAGAGCACCGGACGCGACTGTGTTCGATGTCTCGTCCTCGCGGAACACCGAAAGGCCTTTGGTCGTCCATTGTGCATCGGGCGTAGCTTCGTCTCCCGCAGACAGATGGTCACCGCATAGCGCTCGTTTCAAGGAACTTGAGGATGCTGTTCAGGAGTGCGCACGTTCCTGCGGTTCCATCGCAAGACTTTGCCACGGCACTAAACATGGGGCGCAGCTTACGCTTCCAGTGTTCTTCCACTAACAGCGCTGGCAAGGGGGCGTTCGGAAAGAGATGAAAATGTTCCCTAAACGTCGTGGTACGATCTACCAGAGCTCGTACCAGCAGCCGAACGCAGCGCTACTGTTGCGCTCTGTGCTTTCGACCCGACCGAACAAGGTCGAATCCATGGCCGGACCTTAGGGCTACCGCCCTCTTGCGGTGAGACGGGTCCGGACGGGCCCCGCTTGTCAGGGCGCCCCACGCTGCACGGGGGCGCCGCAGTGATGCCGTGCTGGGTGGTGATTCTTCAGGATTCTACGCGGTTGGCGCATGTGGAACTTGAGTGTAAGTCTGTGGGACATGTGAAAGAAGCCTCAGCGATGCCACGCTGGGACTTACCAGTGAGATTCCCAGTTAAGGAATGATGCTGTAGCGGACCTCAGCGTGCCGGGGTGGTTGACATATCGTCGCTTGACACTAAATCAAAGCGAAGGAGGATTCCCTGCCCTCCCGTGTCCGGTATTCGTGCCGGTATCATTGGTATACCCAGGTGGACCGCGCTCCCCACAGGTAATGGCTACGGGTCTGCAAGGATCAGGCTCGGATCTCTCTGACATCAGCGCGAACCTACACGACAAGGAAAAGAAAGGGCTCAAGGATAAATTCAGCAAGCTGTTCAAAACCCCACCGCCATCTAGGTCTCAAAGGTAAGGAAATCACGGCATGCCAGTTACCCCATGCTTTTAGTTCCCTTCGCGCCCCTGACGTATGATGTCCAGTTAGCCGTGTGAAACGAACAACCCTTCGATACATGAAGGGGGACCCTCAGCATAACTCCCATGATATCTGGTACTTTTTAGCACATTTACAAGCAAACAGCCTGTTTTTGGGGTCGTTCCATGCCAACCCATCCAATGAAGGGTCCCTTTTGTCACACGATAATATGGGATTCCGACGAAATTTTGTCTACGGGGTTTGTCTAGTTCTGAGCACGATTGCGATAAATGAGAGCAGCTGGAGCACCAGCTGCTATCGTTATGAAAATGGGGATATTTTCTTATCATTTTAGGTTGAAAATGGTATTCTAACGCTACCATTTACAAAATTGTGTATCACAGACACTAAACTCAACAGCGAAGCGATAGACCGTAAGCTCGTTGCACGAGGTGGTATGGGAATGCCCACCATGTCATTCAGCCCGCCAGGTTTGTGTTTGCGAAGATTCAGAAAAATGTCTTGGTTTCTAAATAAAAATGGTTTCGTTTTTTGGAATATATTTTAAAAATTTTATAATATATTCAAGTACATATTTCAGACAGTTTTTTTGGTATATTGGTGCGTGAAATGCAGGCGTGATTGCGGTATAACGCCTCGATGAATTTGTGGACTGTGGTAAACAGCTTCCGAGAAGCGATCAATCAATCTTATTCTAACTATAAAAAACTAGGAAATGCCCAATAACTCCCAAATGATATCTCAAATTGCTCCAATTTTCCGAGAATCATGCTTAGAGCAAAACAACCCTGTAGACTTAATTTCAGCCAAATTCCAGGGGTCCGGTGACAGCGATCGCTTCGGTTGGCATGGAATGGCCCCTCTGTTCCGCTTTTGCGCCCACAAATTTGTCTAGAATATCATTGCTTTTGTCCAGGGACGTCGCAGTTCTTTGTGCCGTTTTGCGTCTTCGGCTTAGAGGTATTTTGACGCCTCGCCCCGCATCCGCACGCCCTGTTGCCACCGACCGGTCGCAGAAATGGACTCTGGCCGGAGTGACCGATTTCCCCGGCGAGAGAAATACCTCCACTGTTATTGCAGGACACCATCATCCGCTGTACCTTCTTTGCACCGCCGTAGCTCCCTGAATGGTCTAGCTGTAATAGACGAGGTGCGTATTCCCAGGCTAGTTTTGCTGACTGCTAGAATGTTTTGTGCATGCGCATTTTAGCCTGCCGGAGCTGAATACTTGATAATCCTAACATTTTCAACATCATGCAGATACTCATCTTTTCGAACGCTACACTTTCTATCTCAAGAACTTGTCTCATGAGAAGGCAGTGCTGAGAGCATACACCAGCCGAACGTCTTCTACATGCTGTCTCTTTCCCTGCGCCCGCCCAGTATTGAGCGAGCTGCACGCGACACTAGCGCCGCCCCGCGGGAGGTGCCGACTGCTCCTGCCCGCCGCGCTAAGGCCTCTCCCAGCCCAGAGACGCGGCCGCGTAACCCGCTGAACGTACGGACGGGAGCGGCAGCGGCGCCGACCATCGTGAGTAGCTGCCTCATCAGCCGGTCGACATCGCAGGACCAGTGTGGATGGTGTGAGAATGCTACTACAGGTCACTGTGGTCGGAACACATCTGGCATGACACACATCCTCCCGAGCATCTCCTCCATGTACCACACCTCCGCACGCATCTTCCCGAGCATCTCCCCCAGCTGCCGTGCCTCTGCACGTATCTTCCCGAGCATCTCCCCGAGGTTCTGTATGTTCACATACATCTACCCGAGCATCTACCCCAGGTGGCGCATCTTCACCCACATCTTCCTGAGCATCTCTCCCAAGTACCGCACCATTGCACATATCTTTCCGATCATCCGTACGGGGTACCGCACACATCTTTCCGAATATCTACACGAGGTACCACACCTTTGCACACTCTTCCCGAGCAACTCCCTCAGGTACCACATCTTTGCACATATCTTCCCAGACATACCCCCTCCGCAGGTATCGCACCTTCGTGCAGTCTCCCCGGGCATCTCGCCGAGATACCAATCTTTTTAGTCCTTTTCACGCTCTCGTCGCTCTCTCACTACCCTGTGGCCGTTTCCCGTTTTTAAAGCGCCAAGACATCGCACCTTTTTTGAAATGGTGCCCAGCAGAGCAATGGATCGCATGCACGGACCCGCCGCAACGCGTACCAGCCGGATATGGCCCATCGAAACCCATCGAAAACCTTGCCTGTACCCGTATGTGAAGAATCTTTGTTTAAGTTGTCGCTGTTTTATTGAGCCTCATCAACCCCTTGCCACCCTCTTATTTCAGCGGGACTTCAGCGTTCAAGAATGTCATGGAACCGTCCTTTATGCTGTTCCCCAGGGTGTCTGTAGGGTGGCCGCTGTCTGCAGCCTAACCGGGGACCCCATCGAGCTTTACTGAGCCGATCTTCTGCTGTACGGCGGGTGGTGGTGACGTCAGCAGTCACGTGTCGCCCGCCATGTTGTGTCACGTGCCGGGCATGAGCCCGGGGATACCCTTGCTTTCAGACTGTAACAGCATCCTCTCATGCCACAAGACCCCTTAAAAGATGATAAGGTACAAGTAGCAGTGCAGGCTTTCTTCGATGTTTATAGGAACCGGTACTGCGACGCCCGAAACTCATGTGCATTCAATACAAAGCGTACTGCTTATGTCTTTTTTTAAGCTCGTCTTACGTCTTGTCAACTGATGTCGTTAGCCATCAAATGGCTATATATTTTCTTTGCATGGTTTGGTAAGATTGCTAGACTTTCATAGAAGTTGATTGACCAGTATGTGAGATATGCTACCAGCATAGCTTTTCATAAGCATGATTCACAGCTGTCATTGATGCGTTGTGTTGTTTGCATGCATGAAACTTTGAAACGTCATAGATTACTCAACTTGTGTTCGCACTAATTTGGTAGCTTACGTCTCAGTGAATGACTGCTAACCTAGGCCCCGACTTATGAGATGTTTTTTCTGTGTATAGTTGGTTAACCTACGTCTGAACGTGGGGAGTCGCCGCAGCACCCTCCGATTTTTGTGCGGGCGTCTCCGGACCCAAGCGACGTAACGTGATTAAATCTTGACCGCTTGAATTGTATTTTGTTTTCAATTAGACTTTTCAGTTTCGAGTTTCCACCACACGAGATGTCCTCCAAGTTAGCGTCGTACTCCTATTTGAATTCAGCGTTGCGGTCTGATTTCCATTAGATTGGTATCATGGCGTCAACTTTATCGAGACAGTTGCGTGCATGCAACAATAATTTACCTTCCTTCTTAGTTTGACCTCTACAAGTCACTTGAAAGGTAAAAGCTTTAGTATTCCTTTGTTTACCGAAGAAATGGAACAAAATGGGCACCATAGTGATGTTTGTGATTTCCTATGATTTACTTCCGTAACACTTGAATGAAGCATTTTTGCATTTCTTGGGTGAACGAAGAACTGCCACGTTACCGTATTATGCATGACATTGAGAGTTAGTTTTTACAGAGGTGACAAAAGTCGACGTGACGAGCATCATGACATTGAGAGTTAGTTTTTACAGAGGTGACAAAAGTCGACGTGACGAGCATCATGACATTGAGAGTTAGTTTTTACAGAGGTGACAAAAGTCGACGTGACGAGCATCACGATAATGCAATTTTTTACAATTTTGGGTAAGCGAATAAATGCCAAGGTATCGCGTTTTGCATGGCCTTGACTTTTGACCTTTAAGTTTGGCTCTTGGAGGTTTGACGAATTTGAACACCACGATTATCAAAGTGATGCCCATTTTGTTAAATTCCTTCGATAAACGAAATAATGCCAGGGCGCCCCAGTTTCGACGTTTCAACAACCTCTACATAGAGCACAAACCAAGCGACCTAGAGAAAAGGAGATTGCATGCTTTTGAATAACCCGATGAGAATTAGGGTACAAGAGAAATGTATAGGAATCTGAGCATAACGTTGAATTTACATACGAAAGCGAGGCCAACATGTCGGACATCCACATGAGGCCGTTTTCCGTGACTTTGTTCCCAAATCCGCCCGGACAGAAGAGGAAAATGGACGTTTCTCGATGAATCTTTGCTCTTTGTGCTTGAGATCTGCAAATGCAAGAATTTTGAAGATGCGGAGAAATTATGCGATGAATTTTGTCAATCGTAGTTAACTTTAGCTGGGTTCATTCGAAGCCTGGAAAGTTCCGTGAAAGTAGCCTTAGACCTAACGTATCGCGGACCGAAGTGGCTGCAACGTCGTTCATATTCTAACGATCATCCAGGGCAGAGGTCAGATCAGGTTAAGTTATGCCAGATCTTCGAGACCATCAAAAGTGCTCCCAGCAGACATTTCACACTATACCACTAGCGTCGTCTTGCGCGGTGATTTTTTCCAGCCATGCAAGATCAAGGTCACAGTAGGTCATGGAGTGACTTCAGGTCACCTCGCACCATTATTTTGAAGTGCACGGTGGTTTGTTACAAGTCATAGGTACCGACTTTAGTCAAAATTTTGTGAACAATTATTCACAGATGGAAGACATTATCATGCTACGTTTGACCCAACATGACAGATGACCTGTGACATAAGGAGAACTCTTCTATTGCAACATATGCTGGACATTGAATGGGCATTTGGGGAGACGGGTCGCACCAACCCTCTCAAACCGCAGCGAAAGGCAATGAAGCCGAAGAACGTGGCTAGGGTTAAGCCGGATGAGCTTCGCCGCGTTTTAAGAGATCTTCGTAGCGTTTTAAAGTACAGCCTGGTATTTACACGCGGCGTTTGCATAGGAAATGTGCGCACATCGAAGGCGTGAGAGAATGCGTGCCAAGAAATAGTCAGCATGTTATGTGGGTGTTTGACGATCCGTAATTATCACAAATTATTAGTTTCTGAAAACTGCTGTCATTTCTTTAAAAGCATGGGTGACGGCTCCTGATCTTATGTGTACGCGTTCCAGCAAGCCGGCGAGCAGCCCTTCACCCGCTCACCACTAGGTGTCGCCCAAAGCGTCGCGACGCTGCCCAGGTCGGCGGCGGCCGGCGAGCAGAAGCCACCTAGCGGCGCTGCCGGGCGCGTCGGGGCGCTGGCTGCGTTTAGTCGCGCCCGCGCCAGGTTTGAGTCGTGACCGCCGCCTCCGGTGGAGCCTCCGGGGCGGCGCTGCATCCTCTGGCTGTTCCCTGCAAGCGGTCATCATACAGTGTTCGGCGCCGCGTGACGTGATCAGAGGGTGTGCTCGCGCCGGCGTGCCTGCGGGTGGCGGACACCCTTCGAGAGACACACACCTCCGCACATGTTATACTGAGCATCTGGCGGTAAAGTAACGCCGGGATATTGTTTAACACTTCGTGACCGCACACCACCTCCTTAAGTGTCCCATTGGAAACGTTCTGACTAGAGGAGCACTCCCGGGGAAAACATCGCTTCTGTTATACTGTGAAATCTCGCGAGAGATTCCGTGAAGGCGCCAGCATTGTGTGATGACACCATGTCGTTTCATATTGAGTCGTTCACCGTGTTGGTTTGTATTTTGCTTACTGTTTGTGTAGCACACTTCAGACTTGGGTTGCCGTCATCGTGTGTCTCAGCCGCCGACCGACTTGTTCAGGTGACAAGGTCGGGCATGAGGCCGCGGCTGGTGTCCTGTTGTCTTCACGGGCACGGCCGGCTCATCTGAGCAGGGCGCGTGTTTGCCGCTCAGTTCGCCAGGTGGCTCCACCGTCGGCCGGCGCCGCCTGAGCGCGGCCTGACGGGCGAGATGTTGACCTGCTCACTGGATTATCCGCTGTTGTCGTGGTTCGTGGAGTACGCAGTGGCCGAGGCCTGGTGTCATGAGTGGCAGGATGGCTATGTCGGGCCCAGTCTGAGGCCGCCGCTGTCGACCGTGCCCACCCGCGTGTATGTCCGTTCATGTTGACACACTGCTGATGTATACGATTGGTGTAAATACATGCTGACATGCTCTCCCAACCGCGTGATGTCGCCGAGCAATAGCATCGCTGGTGGGATGATGCGGTCGGTGTGCCGCGGAGGCTGACAGTTGGTCTGCAGTCGGTCTGCAGTCGGTGTGCTACTGAGGCTGACAGTCGGTCTGCAGTCGTGTGCCCGCATTCGGTGCGCCACGGAGGCTGACAGTCGGTGTGTAGTCGGTCTGCAGTCGTGTGCCGCAGTCGGTGCGCCACGGAGGCTGACAGTCGGTGTGCAGTCGGTCTGCAGTCGTGTGCTGCATTCGGTGTGCCACGGAGGCTGACAGTCGGTCTGCAGTCGGTCTGCAGTCGTGTGCTGCAGTCGGTGTGCCACGGAGGCTGATAGTCGGTCTGCAGTCGTGTGCTGCAGTCGGTGTGCCACGGAGGCTGATAGTCGGTCTGCAGTCGTTTGCCGCAGTCGGTGCGCCACGGAGGCTGACAGTCGGTGTGCAGTCGGTGTGCAGTCGTGTGCCGCATTCGGTGTGCCACGGAGGCTGACAGTCGGTCTGCAGTCGTTCTGCAGTCGCTGTACCACGGTGGCTAACTACCGGATGCTCGCCGTAACCTCACGAGCTTACATGGCGTCCACAAGCACGGGCGGCAGCGTCGGAGCGCAGCCTTTTAGGATGGCACGCGACCCCGACACCGCGGGTCATAGATCAAAAAATGGATGCCGCAGAGCCTGTTCCCAGTCACACAAGAAGCCAAAATCTTATTTCAGACTATGGAGGGCTCCAACTTCAGCGATGTTCAATCAAGACATGCGTTCTGAGAGCTGGCGTTATTGCGATTTAGTCCCGCGGGAAAATTATGCTACGAGATCGTGCAGCTCCTGTTCAAAAGAGGAACGGGTGGGCAATCATGGTATGGCATGCATAACATCAGGTTAGTGTCAACATGCATGTGCAGCATGACGCAGTGTGCCGAAAACCCAAGATCCGGTCAAAGAAAACCTGAAATTAGTTCTCACCAGAATGGAGTCACAATTCAAACAGGCATCTTCATTCCGTCGACAGCTACCCACGCATGAAGCGCTTGTCAGACCCGAGCTTTGAGACGAGTAGCGCGTTGTTTGGCCCGGAATCTGTCCTCCTCTCCTCCCTGGACTCCCGTTAGGTGGGACACACTCAGGCTGCAGGGTGGATGCCAATCGGTGAATCCCCGTTCCCAACTGACGTCAGGCCTGTGAAATAGAGGAGCCGAGCTGCGCGGTGGGTGGTCGGGCGGAGCCGGGCGGCGTGGCACGTGGTCGGGCGGAGCCGGGCGGCGTGGCACGTGGTCGGGCGGAGCCGGGCGACGTGGCACGTGGTCGGGCGGAGCCGGGCGGCGTAGCACGTGGTCGGGCGGAGCCGGGCGGCGTGGCACGTGGTCGGGCGGAGCCGAGCGGCGTGGCACGTGGTCGGGCGGAGCCGAGCGGCGTGGCACGTGGTCGGGCGGAGCCGGGCGGCGTGGCACGTGGTCGGGCGGAGCCGGGCGGCGTGGCACGTGGTCGGGCGGAGCCGGGCGGCGTGGCACGTGGTCAGTCGGAGCCGTGCGGCGCGGTAAGTTGTCCGGCGGTGTCCGGCGGCGCGGTAAGTGGTCAGTCGGAGCTGGGCGGCGCGGCGCGTGCACGTTATGGCTTGCCGAGTCCTGTGTCCACCACCGGAGTGGCTGTCAAAAACCGGCCGGTCAGGCTTCGACTCAGCTGCCCGCACCTGCTCGCGCGCCACTCAGCCGTCAGATCCGCCCGTCTGGTCATGTCCAGAATTGCATTACCCACGTGCGGCGATCAAAGCCACAGAATATGCACCAGAAGAAATCTGACTGGTCGATATCTACAGCTTACGTCACGTCGCTCATGTACCCCTGGCAAGCCGGCGTCGGCGTGCTGCGACGCCGTCCACCTCAGGGCGCGGTACTGAGGTCTAGGCGAGACATGGCCGCCAGCCTTTGCCCTCGAATATAGTGTGCGTAGCGTCACGTAAGTAAAGAGAATGCCCACTGCAGATTTGATAACTGATTAGACCAAGCTGTAAGTAGCCTCCAGCCTGGAGAGCTGTCACGTTCACAGTGTGGACTGTGACAGCGCTAGCTTCCCCCAGCGGGAATTTCCCAAACACACCGGTGGTGTTGAAGCGGTTTGGCTCGCCAACGCTCACTCGCCGCGTCTGGAGCCTTCTTTGAGCGGGCGCGACGCCCGGGATTTACATATTCGCACAAGTTTCGTGGTTGAGCCCAACTGGCGAAGATGGAAATTGAAGGTGACCTTTCCCGTGGCATTTTTTGGCTGAAAGATTCAGAATAAGTAAGGCGAGCATAAGCATCAGCCTGATTTGGATGAATGGACAAGTTAGGTAGGCGTAATTGATGAATAAAGTAATTGATACATAATACGTCAATAAATAGGCAACCAAGATGGCACGTGCCGCATGAGCTTTCTGGCGAAGAACCTGGCAACCGTAAGTGCGAGAACTTCCACAAAAGCGAGCGCGTTCGAAGTGGAAACTCGTTTCGTTCGCGTGCTTTTCGAACGCGCGCGCTGAGTAAAGCCCAGTGGCCAACCAGTCTGCTGCAGAGACTGTCCACCAGGCTGCACTTTTGCTTTGGCCTCATGCAGCCTGATGCATCTTGCCGAGTTAAAATGAGTTCACAGAACATCTTGATGATAGCAACGGACACCGTTCTCTCAAAGTCAAATAAGGAAATGTCAATAATTCATAGCACGGTGCCAGCGCACCTACTGTTATGCTGGAGCTCGGTGCAAACTACTATCGTCGGTACTGCCCTGAGCAAACTCCAGCCGGCAGCTGACGCCGGTCCGCCCGTGCGAGCGCCGGACGCGACGGCGAAAGTGGCGCTGCTCACTGGACCGTGGCGGCGACGCGACCACGAAAGCGGCGCGTCGCTCAGTTTCGCCAGTGACGGGTGTTGGCCGGCGAGCGGGCGAGCGGGCCAGCCCCCGCGCGGGCCCGCGCTGTGCCCCAGCCGCCGGGCAGTCGCTCGTGGCTGGCGGACCAGCCCCGGCCTCCTGCCGCGCCCCGCAGATGGCCGCCCGCGTCGGTGTACTTGTGCTGGTCTTCGTGTCCGCCGCGCTGGGCCCAGCGCTGGCTGACCGGCCGGTGTGGGAGCAGCGCAGGGAGCGGGGGCTCGCTCTCCAGATTAGTCCAAGACGCCTCGGTCTTGCCGGCCAGCAGCCTCGTCGGCGCAGCAGCTTCGCACACCGGCAGAGTCAGCGCGACTTCTTCAGCCCTCACTGGCAGCAGAATGACTTCATCCCGAGTCAGCCGCCGCACGACGGCTTCAACCGGGATCCTGCCTGGCAAGGCCCTGGCCACGGCCCTGGTGAGTGCTTCGGCTGCTCACGGCGGCCAGAAATGGCGTCGTGAATATATGTGCGGCATCAATGTATAGCCCATGCATGGCTGCCAACACAGATGGCTTGAAATGACGCCAGTGCCAAGACATCGACAAAAGACGAAGCATGCCACCAATGGCGCCTCTCAGTCTTCCTTCGCCAACCTTCTAACATTCTAACCTTCCCCAACGCTCACTCTCTCTCTCTCTCTCTCTCTCTCTCTCTCTCTCTCTCTCTCTCTCTCTCTCTCTCTCTCTCTCTCTCTCTCTCTCTCTCTCTCTCTCTCTCTCTCTCTCTCTCTCTCTCTCTCTCTCTCTCTCTCTCTCTCTCTCTCTCTCTCTCTCTCTCTCTCTCTCTCTCTCGCTCTCTTTGCTCTCGCGCGCGAGTGGGATCGAGTGGAGTTATATGTTCAGCATATATTCGTTTTATATTCGATGAGGGTAAGATGTGGCTTCTGAGGGATGGTCTAGAGGCCTCTGAGACAATCAGCGGTTTTAGAGAAGGAAGCCAGCGTCGCGCACTGTGACGAAGCCCCATCCCCTCTTCCCTCAGCTGAGATCGGCTGCAGCATCAACGGTGAAATGTACCAGCCGGGGCAGAGCTGGTACCTGCCCGGCTGCAGGAGGGGCACGTGCGTCAAGTTCGGCTACAACTACTACGTCTCAGAGGACAGGTAATAAGAAAACTGGTAAAATGAACGAGTGCGACATAAGCGTTGTCCTGAAAAAGACAAGGATCGAACAATGAAGGCGTATGCCCATTTCCTGGTAGCCATTCTGGACATGTGACTTAACTGAGTCTTTTTTTACCTCGACGGAGTAAATTTGTGTTTAGGGCGATATGTTTTGCCTGCTTTAGTTTCATGTACAAGCCGCATTTTTTGCTTGAAATGTCGATTGGTTAAATTGACTGTCTTTATTTGGGTTCAGACGGCTATTCTTGTCTAAATAAGCGATAGGTGTGAACGTCATGCGCTACACGTGGTGAATAGCCTTGTTTCCTTCATTACTCAGCTCTTTCAAAAGTTTCAAAGGTTATTTCGAAAAATGAGATTATTTTGAGAGTTCATTCAACTTGGGCAGTCTGATTGAACGGTTACGCTACTCTGTTTGTGTTGCAAGGTCTGAGTGTCACATCTGTTTTTTTTTTGTTGGTTTTTTTTTAGGTGCAAAACGGAGTACTATAACAGCAACTATGCCTGTGTCATTTACGAAGAGAGGAACCGACGGTACCCACACTGCTGTCCTTACTACAAGTGCAATCCCGAGCTCTGATGCGTCTGCGAAGAGCACCGACGTGTCAACACAACTCACGCTCTGCAGCTCAAGGAGCCATGCTCATCATGTCGAGGGAACCCAATATTGTCAACTTTGTTTGAGCACTGGTCAGTGTGTACATGTTCAATGAAGTATTTGTGCGTGCTATGACTTGTTCGTAATTGATGCCGGCTGTACTGAGAACCTGCAGTTTGTTCGTTTGCTGTTTATGCTCAGTTATGGACAGGAAGCAGCACATGATGGGAAGAGTGGATTGGCACGGAAGCGGAACACTGAACCCAGGGCGGCCTCCCTTACAATAGCGAAAGATGCAATCGTCAGCATAATCCTACATCCCGGGCATGCGGCATCATGGCATCGACAGCCTCCCTGGTGTGCCACTGTACCATGGTACAGTGCACATGTACCACGCCCATTTACCACCATGACGAGCATAGCAAAATGCAGTTTGGTAATGACAGAAGTTGTATAGATAGTTGCTTCCATAGAGCTGCAACAAAAATGTCATGTTTATAGAAGTGAGCGATTTTTTTTACTTTGCAGATCCCTTGGGTTTTGCCGGTTGCTAGGAGCTCTCGTAACTTTGAAATTGTATTTGTGTGTAATATTTTGGCACGACCGTTGGCCAGCCCAGTATTTCGCACATGAAATGAAACAGAAGAGAAAGGATGTAAAACTAATATGCACACGTTGGATGATTAAACCAACGGCTGCCCTTCAGTCGCCATGCGACATGCGACGCGTTCCATGCGAGGTTGCGACGTGCGACATCGGACCTTCCACCACTAGCGCGTGATGGCTGCGTGTTGGCAGACATTCATATTGTAGATGACTGAATAAGACCAATGCGTTGTTCCGCACATCAGGTCCCGGGTGTCACGCAGTTGCTAGGGCTTTCCGAACGTCGGCATTCGCCCTGGCATGGTCTGGCAGGTCTGTGACGAACTCGTGCTCGGTCTGCTGAGCAACGCAGTCTCTCGGGTGGCCTGCTCCCAGCGCTCGTTTCACGCAAGTCTGCCCTGCCAATGGGCTGACTTATTATAACAACCGGCGATTGTGGCGGTGCCGCGCGCCGCTTTGAGGTATTATCCGATGGTATGCGTGCAAGCAGGGAGAAGAATGGAGAAGGGCACCTTTAGACCACGGAGGAGAGCGCATGGAAGAGCACGCCTTTACCGTTCCGCTCCCGCATCCCTAGTATGGTTCACAGCTACCTCGAATAGACTACCCGGGTTGCGCATACTGGCTGGTCTTCGCCAAACGAGTTCCTTGCATTTCGGGAGTAGGCACTGATCCGGTCAAGCTTTGCTATAACCCGCTTTGACTGCCCAGCCGGCATATACAAGCGCTCCCGACTTGGCCAAGCTGGGCGTTCGCGGCGCGGCACGTGGGCCACGTGTGCACCAATGACGTGCTTCCGGTCGGCAGCGCAAGCTGCGGCACGGCTGTGGCAGTCCGCCGTGAGCCGCGCCAGCCAACGGCACTCGAGCCGGCGCGCTTGGTGGAGCCAAGCGAGCCCGACCGACGTTCACGTGCGTCTTACTGTCTTGTGTTGTGTTCTTTTCGTGTTTTGTATGTTTTGTGTGAATAAACATGTGAACTTGTAATTTGTTGATTTTCCTTTAGAAAAGGTAGCCTGTTTAATGTGACACAGGTTTCTGTCCCTCTCTTCGTTGTCGCCGCATGGCATAAGCCGGCTTAGCGTAGCTTTTTGCCTGGCCTTCAGCCAGTAGGGAATTCGTTAGCTCCACCACATTCCGTGCTGTGCCATGCTGTGGTGTGCTGTCTTCCTCCTTGTTTCTCCGTCTTGATCTGTCCTGTCATCTCTGGAGCCTGTCGTGTATACCTAGAATCCATCTTACGCAACGCACTTTTTTAACACACTCAGCCCTCACTCTTCTTAACCCTCAATCCTCTTAGCCCTCAGCCCTCTTAGCCATCAGCCCTCTTATCCCTCAGCCATCTTAGCTTCCAGCCCTCATAACCCTTAGCCCTACCCTCAGCCCCGTTTTCCTGTCGTCTTGTGCCCTGTGCTATCATTTGCTGCCCTGCTTTGTGTCCCTACTTCCTACCCTGTCCCATGCTGCTGTTTTTGTCCTGTGTTCTTCTACGCTGTACATTTCTGCCAGCCTGTTTAGTACTGTTGTTGCCTCCTGCATACCCCCCCCCCCCCCCCCTCCAGTCCCGTCTTCTGTCCTGTCGTGCCGTGCACGGCAGCGATGAACCCGAGGCGATGTGGAGGCTAGGGAGGGCCGACCTAACTTGCCTCTTTCGTAGTGTGTACTGCTGCCATGTTGAATATTGCCCGGATTTGGCGGGGTAACTGCACCCTGCCTTCCCTGAATCCGTTGCCCTTAGCCACATTATGCAAAGCCACGGCCCTAGCCCTTGCCCAAACCCTAGCCAAGCCCCAGCTCCAGCCCCAGCCCCAGCCTCAGTGTCAGCGCAGTACCAATCCCAGTCCCAGCCTCATTACCAGCCCCAACTCCAGCCTCAGTGCCAGCCCCACTCCCAGTCCCAGGTCCAGTCCCAGCCTCAGTCCCAGTCCCAGCCGCAGTCCCAGGCCCAGGCCCAGCCCCAGTTCCAGTCTCAGGCCCAGTCCCAGCCTCAGTCCTAGGCCCAGCCGCAGTCCCAGGCCCAGTCCCAGCCTTAGTCCCACACCCAGGCCCAGCTGCCGTCCCAGGCCCAGGCCCAGCCGCAGTACTAGGCCCAGACCCAGCTGCAGTACCAGGCCCAGGCCTAGCCACAGACGCAGACGCAGACGCAGACTAGTCCGTTCCTGTGGTGGACTGCGGCTGGGCCTGCGCCTGGTCTAGATCAGCCTAGATGGGCCTAGATCAGCACGGCCTAACGCCGCGCTGATTACGTTATGTATGCAAACGACGATAATGTAGCCAAGGATGATTTGGGTGCAAGGGGGGGGGGGGGTGCTGGGGGGGGGGGGGGGCCGTGCTGCCTATGTTGAAGTTCGGGGTAGTCCAAGATACCAAACTGGGTTCTCATTAGGTAGTGGGCCCCTACAGGCCAGGATGAAGTCAAAGTATTAACTTCATTCTGACTCTACAAGTGAGAATGAAGTTAAGCTATCGAAGAAAATAATGGACCTTCTACAGGTCACACTGGATCTGCATGCCATAATGAGTCATGTGCAGGCCAGAACGGACGCTCTTAAGTCCAGAATGACCTCCTTAAAGACCGAAATGGGCCTGTCACGGTCAATAATAGGCTGTCCACGAAATGGTTCCCGACGGGCCAGAATCGACCCTCTTCAGCCTCAGAATTGCTCTCTTTTGGGCCGAAGGGTTCCGAAGCAACCCTTCGCCCATCCAAAGGAACCATTCGCTACCGTGCTGGCCCAGTATGAGCCCTCGACAAGCCAGAATGAATTTGTTTTTATAAATTTGATCCGAACCGTTTGAAGGGATAGATTTCTGGGATCAGCGCTCACGCTGAGCAGTGCTTGTTGTGTGAGCCTTGAACCCCGCCATCTGATCGCGCAATTCCAGGCAAAGGCAGAATTTAGTGGCGAAAGCTTAACGTGCCGCACTGTTCGGCACAGTCCGTCCTGCCCTCTGACGTCAACTGGCCTTTTAGCGCGACCGCTGCCACCAGCCGCGGACCTTACCTGCCAAGGGCAAATAGCGAGCGCCCTAAAGCTTGCACCCACCCTCCCACGGGTGGGTGGATCGGAATGCAGGCGCTCTAACCGACTGAGCCACCGGGACGGACTTTCACATACACCTTGTCCCAGCTTTCAAGTTGGGGGGGGGGGGGGTGAGTAGCCTCCACTGCCCCCTGCGCGATTATCGCGTCTTTGGCCCAGGAGACACGAGTTGCGCCACCTCCCCTGGAGGTGGCGCAACTCGCGTTGTTTTCTATGAAGCCCTGACTCGTAATGGTCCCTCTCCGTTTTACTTGTATGCTTGCCTTTGCCTACCCTACCTCACCTTTTACTCGTATGCTTGTATCCCAGGAGTACCACCCATACCACCCACGTCACTTCCATGGTCAACATGCAAATTTATTCTCTGTACCACCTGCGTGTACAACAGTAGGTTCTGGGAGCTGGGTAAAAACCTCTATTTTGGTAGCTTTGCAGCATATTTCTGCTTGCAGTGGAATTTTCACACCTGCCAGAATAAATACGCCTGCGTATGGTGTGTTGGGCGTTGTATTGCTCGGCCCTTGGTTTGCCCTGGTTGTTGGTGATGGTGCGCGGATGGTCGTGGGAGGCGGACGAGTGGGGAAGGGATAGGTATGTTTGAGTGACTATCCTCAAATCGCGGTACACGATCGCTGGGCATTTCAGCCTTCTCCGTTAAGCACTGATTACTCCAGGCGAGACCCTCCTATTGGTTACGCTGCTGAGCAGCCACCCGCGGCAGCCTTCGCCCTCATATTATGTTGTGCCTCAAGACGGACAAATGAGGACTTCTTGAGAACTAGACTCAACATAAAATTTTCCATCCAGGAACTAAATTTAAATTTCACTAGATTCTTTGATGATCATTGCTCATCTTGATGTGTCACAAGGAAATGAAAGATCTCTGGTTGATCTAGTTTACAGAAAATGTTTGAGGAGGGATTGAACCCATCACCACGATCTTTTAAAAGGGCTCCAAGTTTAGGATTCACTTTCCAGATGCTGGCCAGTCTTTAATGAACAGACAATCCCAGGTGTGTAAACAAGATCAAATGATCAAAGCCAGTTTCTAAAAATTGCTTTACTGAGATGAGTTTTGCAACATTGTTGTGGTTAACCTCAAGCTTGCATGCCTCAAGTTTAGGACAGGACAGGTTGTGTTGAATTTTAAAATTTATGTGCAAAAATTTTTTTGGGGGGGGGAATTTGGATTCAAATTACATTCACATCATCATGGCTCCCTGAAGCATCAGCTCTGTGCAATACATTTTATAATTACAGTGATATAATACTGGTTGTTACCCAGTGTGGGGAGTGATCAGTTTTTCTGTTAAAGGACCACACAGAATTTAAAAGATTTTTCATGAAACTGGGAATATACTCAGTCATTGTGAGTTATTTTAGCTAATAGAAATGCATTTTGATTTTGCTGGGAATGAATCTCATAAGCATGGCACAACTTGCTTAACTTTCTCAGATTTTAAGCCATAGTTAAGTCATTTTAGAGATATGGTCATAGCTAGTTGTAATCATGGTTTGGAGGCATGTAAGGTTAGCAATTGGATGTTCTTAAGGAGAAAAGCTACTATCTCAGGGAAAGCTTCTTTCTGCTCCTCCAAATATAAAATCAGTCTCTGGCATGTTTTGCAGACAGACAGGATCACTTTACCCACCCACACAAAATAAATATGAATTATAGCCACCAATGTTCAAAATTGAAATGTGAATGTGTTGGGACATCCCTGTACTTCAAAATTAGTAGTGTTGAATTGTAGAATGAGGATTTTCCATGTTGACTGGACATAAAGAGTGTTGCCAAACTGTTACCATAGGTAAACAGGATTATTTACAGCTACCCTGACAGGCACACTTTGATTTTTTACTCAAGGCTAGGTGCAGGCTTATCCAAGGCTGTATAAATGAACACTGGCCTGTATCAGCCATGCCATTTCTGTCCCAAGTCTGTGCATGGGAGACTGAATTCATTTGATGTGTTCAAACTGGATTCACCAGGATTTTTCATTTTTAAGTCATGATATGAACCAAAAACTGCATGATAAGGGTTTTCAAACATGACACTGAAATGGCCAGGTTGTGTTATGATCCAGCATCCCTGGTGAGTATCTGTTTGCTGGATCATGATGTGCCTCTGGAAAGAGCCAGTGTGCTAATTTCAGCTGTGTTGGCTGTGTACCTCTCTTGGTTTTCCTTATTTTGCTGCTGCTGTAAGTGGATTGTGCTGTTTGCCATCCCACAATTTGCTCCCACCTCTGAGAAGAGCATTGAAGAGGGCTCATAGCTGAAACAGTTGCAGCTAGCACTTCTGCTATTTCTAGAACCTTGTGTGTGAACTATGTTAATATAAACTCCATTTAAGGGTTGTTGTTTTGTTATTGTTGTTTATTTGTTTTTACCAGCATGTCTAATGCAATGATCATTTTGCACCCAGCCCCATTTAAGAGTAAGCATTGTCTTGAATCATGCATTCAGGCACAGCAAAAGTATATATTTCCAGCCAAGAACTGGATTGTTTTGATTGTGAGGTTAGCGACTACTGACCAGGACGCAGAGGCATACTGCATTGGTTTGTGAGCTGTGAGAGCACATCCCATCCATCCCCACGGTAGTGGGTGCTGACTTGCGCAGTCAGCGGCCGAGTGTGCGCACCTGCGCCGCGGGCGGCCGCCTCCGTCGCAGTGGTGACTCAGCGCTGCCCCCGCCGGCGCCTCCGCTGCGGTCCGTCGAGCCCCGCTGCGCTGGAGGCCGTCATGACGCCCTCGCTAGGGGTGCGTGGCCGTCGTGTGACGCCGAGATCGCTGTGTCGCAGGCGGGCGTGAGGCCCTCGCCAGAGGTGCGTACCCGTCGTGTGACGCCGAGGTCGCTGTGTCGCAGGAGGGCGTGCGACCCTCGCCAGAGGCGTGTGGCCGCCGTGTGACGTCGGGCCCTCTGTGTCGCAGGCGGGCATGAGGCCATGCCGCAGCTGACGCCGTGCGCTGAGTCGCGCGCGGCGCGGCCCGGCCGCAGCCGACTGCGCGTCTACAAGGTGGTGGTGCTGGGCGAGGGTGGCGTCGGCAAGTCGGCCCTGGTCCTGCAGTTCGTCAGTCACAACTTCATCGAGTATCATGACCCCACCATCGGTGAGTCGGCGATGCGTCACGGCCACGTGTGTTTGCGGTTCGACCGCTCTGATTCGGCGAGCTGTGGCATGTCGGAAAACATTGTGGTCGTTGAGTGACGCAGGAGCTGGGGAGCACGCGCTGTCGCCAGCGGGCTTGTAACCCGACACAGATGTCGTTGGTGGGCTGAGACGCAGCATAAAGCGGGCGCTCACCCGGTGATTCGCCTCAACTAGAGACAACAACAGCCAGGACGAAGTTATTACTTTGCGAATGCATGAATTTACACGGCCCAGCTAGTGTCTTCTGTCCCATTTCTCTGTGTCTGATTGTCCAACAAACTGCGCTGTGATGTGAGTCTGTAGGCGGGCAGGTAGGCACCGTGCTGGTAACGGCTCCCAGGCTGCATCACTCCCGATATCAGTGGTATGCAGTCGGCCGAGTCCGGTGCAGCGGCTCCCGTGAGAGGGCGTGGCGGGCCTGACGGCCGTTTGGCCGGGCGCTGGGAGGGCGTGGCGAACCAGGCGGCCGGTTCCGGTGCAGCCGCTCCCGTGAGAGGGCGTGGCGAGCCTGACGGCCGGGCGCTGAGAGGGTGCGGTGTGTCCATGGTCGCAGAGGACGCGTACCAGCAGCAGGCGGTGATAGATGGCGAGCCGGCGCTGCTCGACATCCTGGACACGGCCGGCCAGGTGGAGTTCACCGCCATGAAGGAGCAGTACATGCGCTGCGGCGAGGGCTTCATCATCTGCTACAGCATCTGCGACCGTCGCAGCTTCGAGGAGGTGGCCGAGTATCGTCGCCTGTTGAGCCGCGTGCGCGCCTCTGACGACGTACCGCTGGTCATCGTCGGCTGCAAGCTTGACTTGGACCAGCGGCGCAAGGTGGGCACCGCCAGCTGGCCGGCACCTAAAGGGCACGGCACGGCACGGTGGCGGCAGCCGCGTCCAGGGCCGACGCGGCACGTGGACATATATAGGTTGGCTGACGGCTACCCTGCTGAAAATATTCACATGAAGTGGGTTTAGGTGCGTTTGAGGTCGGAGGTCAAGCATGGCGTGGCGTTAACGAACCAGAAAGATCCGATCTCCGACCGAGCCCAGCCCTGCCAATCCCGTGTGGAAAAGCCAGATGTATTTCTGACTTCCGACAGACCCCCGTAGTTGTCAGCAATGTGTACAAGTTGCGTACACAAGTTGCGATGGGGTAAGGTGCAGCACGCGAGGTAACGGTGCCCTGGTGCCGGCAGGTGACGCCCGAGGAGGGCCGGGACCTGGCCCGCGAGCTGAACGCGCCCTTTTTCGAGACCTCGGCCGCATATCGCCGGTTCGTTGACGACTCGTTCCACGCTCTAGTGCGTATCATCCGCAGCCAGGAGCGAGATAAGACCGAGGTAAGCTTCTGCATCAGGAATGTGATGGACCGCTTTGTTCACACAGCTTGGGGTTCAGATCCCTTGCAGGATTCAGCTTGCTCTGAAGACCTCAAGCCCCACTGTTCATGGAGAGCAGGTCCCGTCCAACAAATACTCTTTGCTTCAGCTGTAGGTCAAATGTGTGTACGTCCCATGCAAGGGCGCGACTCGAACGCCGCACCAATCAGGCTATCTCGGCCGTTTGCCAGCGGCCGGCATTGAGGAGTCGCGTAAGCAGTGCTCGGGCCGGAACCACGCTCCTGTCGTATGTCGGTCAACGTATGTCCCAATCACCGCCAACTGAGCCACGGAGCCGGCGACGGGGAGGTTAGATAGCGTATGGACGGTAAGCAACGCGCGGGAAAGGCCATGTTTCAGTGAAAGGATTGTAAATGATAAAAGCGTGGTAGGCAATGGTAATAGGCATGTTGGGAAAATCCTGTGGAACCGCGGCCAGGGGTTCGGCTGGAAACTGCGTTGTCTTGTTGTTTGCAGCTGGTTTTATGTCCGCTCTGCCTGGGCCGGGTGGGGGAGTTGACCTGCTGTTGTGTGGAACTGCCGCTCTGTCTGCTCTGTCTGGGCTGGGTGGGGGAGTCGGCCCGCTGTTGTGTGGGACTGACGCTCTGTCCGCTCTGTCTGGGCTGGGTGGGGGAGTCGGCCGCTTTAGTGTGGGACTGACGCTCTGTGTGGGCGGGGCGGGGGGAGGGCAGCGCTCACTGGGTGGCGGCTGACTCTCGGGCCGCCGTCCGGCCGCCGGCAGGAGGAGCAGCGGCGCCAGCGGCGGCGGACGGGCGTCGCGCCGCGCATCCGCAAGCGCTGGCACCGGCTCTGCAGCCTCGTGTCGCTGGCGTTCCGGCGCCGCCGTCGCGACCGGCTCAAGTCGCCCGCCACAGTGTAGCGGCCCGGCCACGGCCGCCGCCGCTCGTCAGGTCATGGTGCGTGACCTGGTTAGCAGAGTACGCCGACCGGCCAGCAGAGGCAGCTGCGCGGGTCATTCCCTGAGGTCTCTCAAGCAGCGGCGAGCAGCGGCCGGCCGGCGAGGACCGCTGCTCTGCTGCCGAGCGTAGCGTTGCTGCAGCGCCGCTTGGCTCGGGCCCAGCGCAGGCCGCTTCAGCAGGTGTTGCTCGGCGCCTCGGCTACGTCGGCGCCGCTGTGTACGCGCCGCGGGACCGTGCGGCCGAGGGCCGTGTCGGTCGCCGCCCACGCCCTCCCTGCGCCTGCGCTCCACGGCTGAGGCGCGCCCTGCACACTGGAGTGGGCGGCCGAGACGGATCAACGTGGTCGCCAGTAGCTGCAGAGAAACGTTCGGAGGCTGCGGAATGGCTATTCTGAGGACGAGAAGAGGTTCTGAGGGCTAGCCGTCGGAGGTCACGTCCTGACGCTGGTGTGGAGGCCAGACCCCGACCCGTCTGTCCCTGGAGGCAGCCCTTCCACGACCGGTGCGGGGATGGAGTTTCAGGCTGCCCTGGCTGGTACGGGCACAGAGTTCGCTGCTAAGGCTGGTCAGGGCATCCAGTTCGCTGTTGAGGCTGATGCCGGATGAACTGTTGTGGGCTGATGACTGACGCAGTGGTGGAAGTCCAGCCGCTGCGGCTGATGCGGGTGACGCTGCTTGCGCTAGTCCTATGCCGCTGCAGGCTGTATAAATCTCTACTGACCTTGTGGCCAATTGTTGGCTTTGTTTGGGGATAGGCGATAGTGCGCCGTGCCGTTGGCGGCTGATGCATGGAGTCGCTGCTAAGGCCTCGCTGAACGCGTCGTGGTGCGGCGCGCGCTCTTGCCGCCGCTTTTGTTCGTCTAGTCAGTTTACGTAGACCAATAGGGCTGGTTGTCATGTTTTATTGGTTTTGTTGCCAGAACTTGCTTTCGAAATGCGATGTTTAGAGGAGCATCGCAGAACCGCATGGTCTTCCCAGCGTACAACTTGCTTACGAGGCTTTAGAGGGGTCGAACGGCAACTCGAGACAAACGGCCGTGCCTGCCGTTATTGCGGCCACATGCGTGTTGATTGTCGGTATCATGAGCCAGCGCGAGACGTCCAGGCTGTTCAGGTCGTCTCGTCGGGGCCTCGGCAGAGAAGCGGGGGCGCAGCGTCTCACAACCTATCGGCGTATTTACTCTTGCTTTGCGGTTGGTCCTGACACTAGTGTTCAGTTTCATAACCGAATTAATGGATGTCTTTTTAAGTTATGTCTTGTTAGCGTGGAAGCTGTGACCTTGTTTGCCTCACTGACTTACTCCAGCTCGTAACGCACACTACAGTATAGAAACGGCTTAGGTGTCCTTTCGCTTGATGAAATCGACTGGTGTTTTTTTTTGTGTGTGCACATTTTATTGTTCTCGGCCGGATCATGTTTTAGTAGATTGCATCTTAACATCACAGGTGCTGTTCAAGCCCATAGACATTCGGCTGCATACAGCCAGGCTCTGTGATAGGAAGACGGATTTCGTGTTCGCACAAGTGTGCAGTGTACAATGGCGCACCAGCACAACGAATTGCTGACCAAGGCGCGCTTTGGCGAGCGGTTATTCCGCCGTGCTACAGCTGAGCCCGGGCAGCAGCTGTGCCTCTGTAAGCTAACGACTGTTCCCCACCTGACTGGAGCCGATGGCCATCGCTGTAATAGGTATTTGCCGGTGCTTATAATACACGTGACGGCTGACGGCGTCTCTCCACCCGGAAAAACTGAGCGAGGACCGCTGTGTGGCGGGGCAGCTAACTTAGGTGGGAAGTGCATTCCGAGGCCAACGGCCTGGATGGATCCGTTCCACTCCGACGTCGCTCGCGACCGCGCGGCCCATCACCTCAGTCCCAGCTTACCAGCGTCGCCTTCTGTATTCTTGCATGCGAAAATAAATACATATCCAGAGCCATATGATTCAGAGGATACATCAGTGATCAGTTCAAACACTAAAACGTTCGCTCGCACTCGCGCATCACTAAAAATTACGTCAACGACGGCGAGCTGACTGGTAGCAGACGAGTCACAGCACCGCTGGGGAACGCGCGACTGTGTGGACGTCGAATCAAAGCACGGCAATTCGTTCCACCACCACACGGCGCCAATGAAGTGTGGCAGCAGGCACGGACAAGCTGAAGGAGCTGGGCTGGAGCGATGTGTCCTACACATAGGAAATCTCGGCAGTAGCTTATGCGCCATTGCGGCAACCTGGGAGCGCGCGGCTTATGTTTCACACGAAGATTACCGCGCATTGGGGCGTTTTCGGCGCAAATTAGTACTCTTTCTAAACCCTCACGAATAAGCTGGCTGCTGGACTGTAGCAAACATGATCGGTTAAATATTTTCCCTAACGCTGGGCAGCAGCGCTCGTCACGTTGCTAGAAATTCGCTGGTGCAGCCACCAGCGCGCTGCTGGGCACAAACGTCATCTTTGGTGCGCATGACAGGGACGGCTTTCCATTTTGAGGACAGAAATAGCTGCCCTCGAGAGCCATGGCGATGGGATTTTCTCACGAAATACTAGGCATGGTATTATTTTCCATTTCCTACACCAACTTAAACTGAACGGGCCAAATGCTCCCCGAATTCATACAGCCCACCGCGTCCATGTCATACGACTTCAACGGCACCACGCGTCAGAAGCTATCCTGAGTCGTGTTCAACACGGGGCTAATAAATAAATAAATGTAAAACTAATTAACATCGCTTCATGCATACACGAGGTAGGGGTGCAAAGATATAACTAAAGGATCTAGGACTTGCGGAGTTGAAAGACAGACCGTACCACGAACGCTAGCAGGGGATGCAACAGGCGGGCCCATTACCACGCAACACACACGTATTCTCAACAGGCCCTTTCACGGCAGTTCCTACCAACAGATCGCTTCACGACGACAGTTGCTCCCAGCAGACCCCTTCACGGCAGTCCCTCGCGGCCTTTCGCTGACGCCGACGCCCCGGCACGAGGTACACATCTCAACACCCGTTTTCCCAGGGAACAGATCAAACAGGAGCCGGCCTCCAGAACACCACCTCTGCACATTCCCGTGCACTCCCTCATCCACCACTCCAAGTACACCACGCACACACGCCGAGTATTTTGTGGGGCGGGTCGGCGGCAGCAGCGTCGACGGGCGGTCTCGGCCAGCGCCAGGCGGGGACCGGGCCGGTCCAGCCGCCCGGTCGGCCGGGTTACACTGTCCCGCTGGAACCAGGCACGTCCCCCGAGGCGCCACGCCACCTCCGAATCCCCGCCTGATGCGATGACAGCACACACACAAGCCTAATTGCAACAGCTTAGCCACTCATCCTCGGTTTGAACCGCAAGGTACCAGTCTGGGTACCCCACGCACACACACACACACACGCACTGGTCGTCAGTTGTCTCCCCCAGAGCCTCAGGTCTTGGTGACGTCCCTGGTCGGGGCTGTCGGCCGGGCGGAGACGAGGCGGCTGGGTGCGAGGCGGAAGCCCAGGAACGTGAGCCTGACCGCCGCATGGCGAGGCCCGTCAGCAGCCGCCGGCAGCAGCGGCTGCGGCTAGCGGTTCAGCGCCTCCTCGCTCAGAGCCGGCCCTAGCTGGTGATGCAGCCGAGCGCGGCGACTGCCGCTAGCGGTTCAGCGCCTCCTGGCTCGGAGCCGGCCCTAGCTGGGCAGTAGCCACCGACGCCGGCCCGTCCCCGCGCTCAGGCTCGGAGCCGGCCCTAGCTGGTGATGCAGCCGAGCGCAGCGACTGCCGCTAGCGGTTGAGCGCTTCCTGGCGGCTGGTCCGAGGAGTCGCGTTCCTGAGAACGGTCCGAGAGAGTGCGTCACGCCCCGCGGTCGGACGGGCGGCGAGTGGACACCGGCCCGGAGAGGAGCACATGCTGAGCACACCTCGCGTGTCGACGCTCAACGCCTGACGACACAAGGCTCGTCATGCATCAGCTTAAGAGAGGTGATTTTCTTCACCTGATAGCCAACTATATCACGTGACATCAAGTCTGATCGCTTGTCCCTCACAATCAGTTCATTTGAAGAACACGGATCGACAAAAAAACAAAAAAGCGGACATGCTGTGCAAGATAGTTTGGTTGGCATCAGGCACGCGTCCAACACACCTTAAAAGTATGTGATCAGGCACTCGTGTTGCAAATAACGCTCATTCAAACCGTATCTGATTGTAGCAGGCACAATATGTACCGACGCACACAACCAAGAACGGAACCCGGACGCCAGAGCCAATAAGCAAAGCATAAAACATCGAGTAAGACTGCCGCCATTGTGCTCAAAATGGGCAACAACACAGCGGCTATGCAACGACATTAGTAGTAAACGCATCCACTTACGTCCTCCACAGGTTGTCTAAAACAATGAGTTTGAGTTATTATAACGCCATCGCTTATGATACACCATCATAATGCACCATGTTTCCTGATGCATCAGCACAAATGAGAACCCAATGAATTTTCGGCAGCCATATACGATTTAACCCTAGGGTGGTCAGTCAGCTTACACACACCTGTTTGAGCTGCATTACGCCACCTTTAAGCCATGTGGCTGTCGATCAATTAGCCTACCGGACAAGATCAGACTCAGATCAGGCTCAGGTCAGGCTCCGATTTCGCTCAGGTCAGGCTCAGATCAGGCTCAGATAAGCCCCAGATCAGGCTCAGGTCAGGCTCAGATCAGGCTCAGATCAGGCCCAGGTAAAGCTCAGATCAGGCTCAGAACAGGCCCAGGCCGGGCTCAGATCATGCTCAGATCAGGCCCACGTCACGCTCAGATCAAGCTCAGACCAGGCCCAGGTAAAGCTCAGATCAGGCTAAGATCAGGCCTAGGTCACGCTCAGATCAGGCTCAAATCAGACTTAGATCAGACTCAGGTCTAACCACACTTCGCACGGGTACGGCTCTACCAGGACGATCAAACTGCACTGCAAGGTGATCCTTCCGGACCGATGCATTCTGAGGATGTCCCACCATGAATCCATCAATGAAGCATCCAATAGGACCCTCGTCTCGGTACGTTTTAAAATAATTCATCCATTGCTGAACTAATACTCTGAGTCTGGCCGTGCCGTTATCAGGTCTAACAGAACAGCCGCGGCCATTTATAACAAGCTGGGCCGGGTGGACGCATTGTGCGACCGAAAACTCCTGCAAATGTCCGCGCGGTAAAGATCGCACATTCTGGAACTAGCATCGAGTGAAAGCATCCTTTTCATGCTGCAGATTTCCGCTTTGCTTGTGTAGTTATGGCCATGTGAATGGCACCACGGGACCACAGATCAGATGACGCAATATCGCACGAAAATAATCCACTGTGGGTGCCGTGACGGGTCCGCACGGGAGGTATACAAAAGCCCACGTTATTGGAACAGGGGCGGGGGGGGCGTCCCTGCTGAGAGTTGTACCGTGTTGAAAAGATAAAAATCCGCTAACTGAAGCATGTTTCAACTATTTCATCCCTTGGAGCTGATCAGTGGACTGTTTCAGCGAAGCTGACTGGTGGTTTACGAGGCATCCATCACTAAAAATAACACATACCGATCCAGCACCCGCGCGAAGCGCACTGACAGCCCGATCGGCATCGTCCTGAGCGAGCTGAGCACTGCACGAACAGAACATCAGGCCACACCATACCAGAGCGTTACAGTGCGCCGAGAATGGATCGTTGCCTGTACCCGTCAGATGGCGAGCGCTAACCATGGTCCGCCCGGCCGCCGCCACCGCCCGCCGCCATCACCCACCTGTTGAGCGTCATGTGGCTCTTGACGAGGTGCCCGGCGCTCTGAGCGGCCAGCAGCGACAGCTCGCCAGCCAGCACGGTGGCGCACACCACGCTGGCCAGCTGTCGGGCGTTCTGACCCGGTTGGCTAGCGTTGGCGCCTGCCGGAGAGCCGAGCGTCACGTTGACGGGCGACGAGAGAGGCTGCGGCCGCGGCCCCCAGAGAGGGTGCGGCCGCAGCCCCTAGAGAGGGTGCGGCCGCGGCCTAGAGAGGGTGCGGCCGCGGCATAGAGAGGGTGCGGCCACGGCCTAGAGAGGGTGCGGCCGCGGCATAGAGAGGGTGCGGCCGCGGCCTAGAGAGGGTGCGGCCGCGGCCCCCAGAGAGGGTGCGGCCGCGGCCTAGAGGGTGCGGCCGCGGCCCCCAGAGGGTGCGGCCGCGGCCCCTAGAGAGGGTGCGGCAGCGGCCTAGAGAGGGTGCGGCCGCGGCCCCTAGAGAGGGTGCGGCCGCGGCCTAGAGAGGGTGCGGCCGCGGCCTAGAGAGGGTGCGGCCGCAGAATAGGGGGCGCGGCCGCGGCCTAGAGAGGGTGCGGCCACGGCATAGAGGGTGCGGTCGCGGCCTAGAGAGGGTGCGGCCGCGGCAAAGAGAGGGTGCGGCCGCAGAATAGAGGGTGCGGCCGCGGCCTAGAGAGGGTGCGGCCGCGGCCCCTAGAGAGGGTGCGGCCGCGGCCTAGAGAGGGTGCGGCCGCGGCCTAGAGGGTGCGGCCGCGGCCTAGAGAGGGTGCGGCCGCAGAATAGAGGGTGCGGCCGCGGCCTAGAGAGGGTGCGGCCGCGGCATAGAGAGGGTGCGGCCACGGCATAGAGGGTGCGGCCGCAGAATAGAGGGTGCGGCCGCGGCCTAGAGAGGGTGCGGCCGCGGCTTAGAGAGGGTGCGGCCGCGGCATAGAGAGGGTGCGGCCACGGCATAGAGGATGCGGCCGCGGCCTGGAGAGGGTGCGGCCGCGGCTTAGAGAGGGTGCGGCCACGGCATAGAGAGGGTGCGGCCGCGGCCGAAAGAGGGTACGGTCGCGGCCGAGAGAGGGTGCGGCCGCGGCCGAGAGAGGGTGCGGCCGCGGCATAGAGAGGGTGCGGCCGCGGCATAGAGAGGGTACGGCCGCGGCCGAGAGAGGGTGCGGCCGCGGCATAGAGAGGGTGCGGCCGCGGCATAGAGAGGGTGCGGCCGCGGCATAGAGAGGGTGCGGCCGCGGCATAGAGAGGGTGCGGCCGCGGCGCAGAGATGGTGCGGCCGTGGCATAGAGAGGGTGCGGCCGCGGCATAGAGAGGGTGCGGCCGCGGCATAGAGAGGGTGCGGCCACGGCATAGAGGGTGCGGCCGCAGAATAGAGGGTGCGGCTGCGGCCTAGAGAGGGTGCGGCCGCGGCATAGAGAGGGTGCGGCCGCGGCGCAGAGATGGTGCGGCCGTGGCATAGAGAGGGTGCGGCCGCGGCATAGAGAGGGTGCGGCCGCGGCATAGAGAGGGTGCGGCCACGGCATAGAGGGTGCGGCCGCAGAATAGAGGGTGCGGCTGCGGCCTAGAGAGGGTGCGGCCGCGGCATAGAGAGGGTGCGGCCGCGGCATAGAGAGGGTGCGGCCACGGCATAGAGGGTGCGGCCGCGGCATAGAGAGGTGCGGCCCGCGGCATAGAGAGGGTGCGCCGCGGCATAGAGAGGGGTGCGGCCGCGGCATAGAGGTGTGCGGCCGCGGCATAGAGAGGGTGCGGCCAACGGCATAGAGGGTGCGGCCGCAGAATAGAGGGTGCGGGCCGCGGCCTAGAGAGGGTGGCGGCCGCGGCCATAGAGAGGTGCGGCCACGGCATAGAGGGTGGCGGCCCCGCAGAATAGAGGGTGCGGCCGCGGCCTCGAGAGGGTGCGGGCCGCGGCTTAGAGGGGGCGGCCGCGGCATAGAGAGGTGCGGGGCGCGCGGCATATGAGATGGGTGCGGCCCGCGGGCATAGAGAGGGTGCGGCCGCGGCCGAGAGAGGGTGCGGCCGCGGCATAGAGAGGGTGCGGCCGCGGCATAGAGAGGGTGCGGCCGCGGCCGAGAGAGGGTGCGGCCGCGGTATAGAGAGGGTGCGGCCGCGGCATAGAGAGGGTGCGGCCGCGGCCGAGAGAGGGTGCGGCCGCGGCCGAGAGAAGGTACGGCCGCGGCCGAAGGAGGGTACGGTCGCGGCCTGTATGGACCCTCTCCCAGATACACGTCAGCTAAAGACGCCGGCGCGGCGGCAACAGATTCGAGCACAATTTTCACAACACACCGGCATGAAGGCAATACTGAAAAGCACATTTCGTGCACATCAGTGCTACAAATGTCCCCGATACACCAAGATGTTAAACCACGTGCCACAACAGCTAGAGGAGCTCGGAGGACGTAAGCCACGACAGCAACGCCTGCTCGTCCTTGAACCGGCACACTCGCCAGTCGTCCCCGCCCGGTACCCATCCCGTCATCCGTTGCCGCCCCGTACCCGCCCCGTCAACCGCCACCACCCGGTACTTACCCTGGCAGCCGAGCATGCGCAGGCAGGCGCGCTGCGCCTTGAGGACGGTGCCGCCACCCACCGTGCCCACCTCCAGGCAGGGCATGGTGCACGTGACGTACAGGTCCTCGCCCGTCTCGCCCCACGGCTCCAGCAGCGTCATGCAGTTGCTGCTGCACACGTTCTGGGCCGGGTCCTGGCGAGCAGAGGTCCCCGGCGCGTGTCGACGGGGTTGACGGGAGTCATACAAGCGGGCGGCGAGACGCGCGCACGTCGCACGCAGCGAAGGCCTCACCGATCAGCCATTAAAACGCACGCATAAAGAACCCTTGAGTACACACAAGCAAGGGCGTACACCGGTGATGATACTACCACTTCTCAGAGACACAATTGTCACAGCTAGCCACACATGACGGGGCATGCAATTAGAAATACGCTGGAGGTAGCCTCTGTCGAGAAAGTTGGGCTCATTGCTGATCCTGCTAACCTCCAGGTCGTTCAAGCGAGAGTAACAAAACGTCCCACCACACGCGTCACAGCCCTCCGCTGCCCTCTCTCGGCACCCGCCGAAGCCTGACCTGGCCAGTGGCAATGTAGATGGCGGTGACAATGTTGGCGGCGTGCGCGTTGTTGCCGCCGATGCTTCCTGCTACCGCCGAGCCGATCAGGGTTCTTCTTGATGGCCAGGTTCACCATGGCCGGCACGGTGGTCTTCAGCACGCTGGTGACCACATCGGCCGGCACCACCGCCTCGCAGATGACCGACTTACCGCGGCCGCGGATCCTGCCGAGACGCCGCCACCATCAGACGCCGGTCCACACTACCACCCGCGAGAGGCGCGTGGAGCGTCACAGCAGTCCTATCGGCCGACACCGCACGCTTGGTAACAGGACGCTTGGTTTAAAGCTGGGTCCGTCCTAATGACTGCCCTAGTTATCGACTCTGGCGAAAATCCACACGCATTGTGATGCTGTCGAACACCCGTAGCGAGTCCGGACGCGCAGGTGGCACCCTCTGCCGCCGTCCGGCGCTCCGAGCTCGCTCCCGGTCCTCCCCATTGTCTGCCGCGGGATGGGTTCCAAGTGGCGCCACCCGACCGACCGCCCACGTCCGGGCACGCACCAGTTCACGGCCGACGGCTTCTTGTCCGTACAGACGTTGCTGCTGACGCTGGTGATGACGATCTCGGGGAAGAGCTGCTGTATGTGCTCCAGCGCCTTCTCCGTCCCCTGCAGGAGGCAGCGGCACAGTGTGACGTGCCCTTACAACGGCGCGGCAACATCAGACAGTCCACGGCAAAACGTTACTATTCCAGTCTTACGTGTTCCATCTGCTCGCGCTCCCTTCAGTCAGACCACGGTCATGCAGACCAGACACGAGCGCTGCGAGACGGTAACTGTCTTAACACGCGAGGCGAGCAGGCGGCGCCGACCCCGGCGGGCGGTGCCCCAGGCAGTACACCGCCGCTCGGGGCAGCGGCGTACCGAGGTGCAGCAGCACTGGCGGCGCGAGCAGGGGTGGACTCAGGCGCACGCCGGTAACATCATGATACAGCTACCTTTTATCATGAAGCGGGTTGCTTGAACAGAGGGACAGAACGACTCACCACGGCTCAGCCACCAATGCACATTTCCCTAAAAAAACAAAACCCTTTTGAAAGGCAATAAGCGGTCTTCCACCTTTGAAATCCCTCCACCCACCCACCCTATGGAGACGTCGCCGCTGCCATTACGCTCACCTTGGACACCATGTTCATGCCCATGGCGTCGCCCGTCTTGGCCACGAAGCGGACGAACAGCTGACGGCCGAACATGCTGACCTCGACGTTCTTGAGGCGGGCGAAGCGTGACGTCGAGTCGAAGGCCAGCTTGACGGCGTGGAAGCCGTCCGTCGTCTCCAGCCAGAACAGGATGTCACTGCGCGACGGCCACACAGTGGAGAGATCAGCGCCCGCCGCACTCGACCAGACAGCGGAGAGATCAGCGCCCGCCGTACTCGGCCAGACAGAGGGGACATCAGCGCCCGCCGCACTCGGCCAGGCCAGAGGGGACAATCAGCGCCCGCCGTAACTCATCCAGATAGAGGGGATATCAGCGCCCGCCGTACTCGGCCAGACAGCGGACAGACCACTCGGCCGGCTGTGTGCATTCTCCAATACTCCGGCTTCCACTCGCAGAGGGACTGACTGGCTCGGAAAGAGCGAGGCCTAGGGCCCAATGCAGGACACAAAGCAGCCGCCACCGTAGCCGCCGCGAAAATGAGGTAACGTCTGACGCGGCGCGATACAGACGGTGCCGCGAAAACCAGGCAGCAAAACCAGACAGCAACGCAGCACCAGACAGCACCGCGAATGCCAGACAGCACTGCGAAGACCAGCGCCGCTCGTAAGTTACCCCTTCCCCTCCCCTCAGCCAGTTTCAGAGAGTGTTTGGAAGCAATGCGGTCCCAACTACAAATCAGTGACGCCTGGTACATAGTGTACGGGTGGATGATCGGTCTGGGAGCTGGCGCCAGCACCGCCGGCTGGGCCGGGCTCGGGGGCCGGACCGCCAGGCCTGCGCTGACGACGGGGGAGCGCCGAGCCGACACCCCGGCTGGCCTTGCCTCTCCGTCAGCGGGTCACGCACCTCTCCTGATTGGCCGACACACACTCGATGACCGGCGCCCGGGTCATGCCGTCGCCCACGATGTAGCTGTTTGACGCCACACTTGCGCACGGCCAGACAAGCCGCGGTTGGTGCTGGCCACCAGCGCTCCTGGGGGAGGGGCGGGGCAACGGCCCGGTCAGAGCAGCGTCAGGTACCTGCTGCGCGTCACAGCGGAAACACGGGAGGTGCGGGGTGCCCGCGCGAGATGAGACGAGACCATATGCCCGTTCAGGTGCCACGCATGCACACACACTGCAGTATACATGTTCTTCAACAAGCCGGCAACACTGACAACACCGCGGCAGCGACGGACGCCGCACTGAGCCACCCGTGGGCCCAGCACCGGCCTCACACCGGCCCGCCACCCGCCAACGCCGCCTACCTTCGGTGGTGGCCAGCGGCACGTAGTACTGCCTGTTGTCGAGCGTGAGCGGCCCCACCACGCCCAGCGGCAGCGGCATGAAGCCCACCACGTTCTCGCAGCAGGCGCCCATCACGCGCTCGTACTCGTATCCCCGGTACGGCAGCTCGTCCATGGCGTCCAGCAGGTGGCCGGCCTCGGTCACGTGCTGGCGGCGCACGTCCACGGCCCGCTCCGGGTCGGCCAGCCGCGCCTCCAGCTGGTAGGCGCGCAGCCGGCGCGCGCGCAGCAGCGCCAGCAGCTCGGCGTCCGACAGCGAGTCGGCGCCCTCCTCCTGTCGGCGGCCGACAGGCGGCGCCGGTCAGCAGCGTCGCCCCACTGACGGGCTCCAGGCCCGCGCTGGACGAGCTCAGGGAGTGGCAAGACGCAGGATCGAGTCCGGACTGGGGCCGTGGGGGACAGGAGCTCCACTGAGTCGGGTGACATGAGATGACTCGGACCTGAGTCGGACTCGGCAACTGGAAAAGCTATGGAGTCGGACTGAGAGTCAAGCCTCAGACTCGGACCCGAAGGCGCGTCAGACACGGACCCGACGATGTGGAAAACTTACGACACGAGTTAGATTTGAACTCAAACCTGGTGGATCACTAATGTACTTACTAGAACCAACGTAAGCCGAGCTTATCCAGTGTCATGTCTATGTTGGAAGGCACATACACATCATAAGTGAATAACTGCCATTCTCGTCCGCCAATAAAATGGTCATCAAAGAACCTGCGTTAAAAGAAACATGTCTGGTTTAGAGACCAACCTTCTGACGTAGTCATTACAT